TAAATTGAGTTTTTAAAATGCTCCAAGGGATGAAGAGTAGGGCTTGTTTTACAAATGAGCTCCCTGCTAAAGTCTCGGTTCTGTGACAGTGAGCATAAAATTGAGTGGTGCACTTTAGGAGCCTTGAAATTAAATTAAGCCCTTCCATGTATCTATTAGATGTAATTATAGCAGAAATACTAGATACACTTAGTTACACAGCAGAATCAACCATACCCAAAATATAACCGATAAATTTACAGTCTGATGAGAAGTATAACTTTTCTGAATTCTCAGTAATAACCATCAATCCATTTTGTGATTAGAAAATCTGTGGGGCCAGGCATGGTAGTGCACACCTGTAATCCCAACATTCAGGAGACTGAGGCAGGAGGATCACAAGTTGGAGGGCAGCTTGGACTATATAGCAAGACCCTATCTCAGATATAAGAAGAAAAGAAAATGTGTGGATAGATATATACACTTTGTAAATGTCTGTTGCAGATTTTGGGTGTTTTTCAGTTTTTTTGCGGGGAGGACTGTTGTGTGGTTTGAACTCAGGGCCTTATGTTTGCTAGGCAATTGCTCTGCCACTTGAGCCACTTGCAGGCCTTTTTTGCATTGGGTATTTTTCTAGATAGTCTTGCGAACCATTTGCCTGGGCTGGCTTCAAACCACGATCCTCCTTGATTGCTGACTCCTGAGTAGCTGGCATTACAGATGTGAGCCACTAGTGCCTGTTTTTTTTTTTTTATGGTATAATTGCTACAGCCTCTTTAAGACTTAGGGACTCAAGGTGAGAAATTATTCTAGGAATCCGCCCTCAAGTGCATATTGGCCGTGGCTCCCTCTCTTAGAAAAGCACCTTAAAACACTACATTCACATGGGTTGGGATGGCCTGGCCTACTTGCACACAGTAGAAAGCCATGAGTTTTCTCTAACAAAGGGATCTTTTTTTCCTGAATTGTTTCTAGTAGGCCCGGAGTTGTAGTCGGGTCATCTTACTTGAGATCTAAAAAAAGGAAGAGGTATTGGAACATGCTGGCAGGTAGGAAAGGTGCATGGCTGTCAAGCTCATACACAAGCACCTCCTCAGAAACTTCCCTGGCTGCACTAGGAGACTGAGCTTCAAGCTCTGAAGTAAATGTTCGTTAGGGGAGGGTGACTGTACATCCTGGTTTGCCCAGGATCATCCCAGTTTATACCTTTTCTCGGGGGTTAATTATTAATTTGCCCCTTCACTCTTTCAAATGTTAGGTATAGGTGGTAAGTTTAAGGTTATCCAGTTGAGACTGTTGTAGAATGGGAATTTTTCCCTGAAGGGGGAGTCATTGTTTTTTCTGAATGAAAACATTAAGGGAAGATAATGGTGAAAATCAAACATTAGTTCTAATTAGGATTTTGGAGTACAGAGCTTTCTCAGAGTGTGAGTGGCTTCGTTTACTTACTTGAAGAGATCGAGAAGCAGTATCACCTAGTGTTGGAGCATTAGTTCTAGAGTAGTAAAACTGTTGTTAATTGTGGCCCTAGAGCACACTCAACTCTGTGATTTGGTGGTAATTAGGAAGTAAGGCTTGTACAGGGATTAACTGGCATAAAGTCTGCGATATAGTGAGCGAGCCAGGGAGCGTTAGTAATTATTAAGGGATCATACGGCTTACTGAATGCTTAGTCTGGCAGAGCCTCAGCTTGGTACTAAAGGGTACAGAAAGTAATGACCTTGTTTCTAAGAACCTGACATAGAATTCTACTTTTTCTCCTCACTACCATAAAACTCTCCTTCTAGACACTGAATAATAGGCATCTCTGTACAGCTTGAGTTTTCACTCATTTAAGGTTGCCCCGCTGTTGTGCAGTAACATTGATCACACAGCCACCTTGTCTGGCTCTGAACAGACAAGGAGGCTCTGAAATTTGCATAACAAAGTAATAGCTTATGTAGGCATGGTTTTGGTTTTAAGTGATAAATACACAACTTTCCTTAGAGCCTAATATTCTCGTGCAGCTATTTGATAGCACTTAATATTTTGGATTATCCAGATGATGTAATAAGCACGGAGGGTCAGTCTACAGCACCAAAGTCATGTTCACATTCAAGTCACTCAAATGCAACTGCAAATGCTGCTTATCCACTCCCACCCTCTTCTCACCCCACCCCTGCCCCTGCCCAGAGTGGAAGTGAGAACAGCTTAAACATGCGCCTGCACGCTCTGAGTGAGACTCAGGTGGGCACGATGGATGTGCTATGAGTCTAGTGTTTGTAAATTCATACTGTTCATGCAGAGTAACTTCTGAATCAGCTCAGCTATTTTGTCTACTCTTAAAATACTTGTTTCAATTCTATAGGAAAACTTAGCTGTGTTGCTCTTTGTATAGAGGTATGTCGCTATCCAGTGCTGAGAGTCAGCCACTTTTGGATCCTTGGTCATGTAACAGAAGTCAAGGCTATGGATCCAAAGTCCCTCCATCAAAAAGCTCATGATATAGCTGGGGAGCATATCTGTACTGGAAAGAACATTCATTAACAGCTCACAGGACAGGGTGTAAGAACCATGAGGACAACGGCAGACTATCTCTGTCCCAGGACATTAGCCCTGAAAAAGCAACCATTTGGTGGAGGGCAGTACTGGAACTTGAACTTGGCCCTTGCCTTGATAAGCAGGTGCTCTACCACTTGAGCCATGCCTCTAGCCCTTTTTTGTTTTAATTATTTTTGAGGTAGGGTCTCATGTTTTTGTCTTATCTAGGACCATCCTCAGACCTTGATCCTCCTATTTACAGTCTCTCACATAGCCCGGGACTACAGGCATGCACCACCACTCTTGGCTTACTGATTTAGATGGTTAACTTTTTTTGCCCTGCCTGGCTTCGAACCATGATCTTCCCAGTCTCTGCCTCCTGATTAACTGGGATTACAGGTGTGAGCCACTGTACCTGCAAATGTAACCATTTTTGTCAGTCTACAAGTCCAGATTTGGGTTTAGAAAAATTGGTACATTAATGCCATTAGAAAGGATGTGAAAGTGGGTTTACCCATAAAGCTCTCTTGGAAATACTGTGATTGAAAGGGTAGCTAGTGATAGATAAAAGGCACAAAGATGTTCCAATAGGGGCATTATTAGGAGCATAAAGATAAGGACAGTTAAGCAAGACTGTTTATCTTGTCATTGAGCCAGGTGGTAGGGGATACAGATTGGAGTTACAAGAGATGAGGCTACTAAGTAAGGAATATGACCAGTGAACTTAACTCAGGAGTTAAGTTGGTGTTTCTTAACCACCTCCTACTCAAAATCAGACCACTGAGGCGCTATAGATTGCGTTCTGACCTGTCTCATGGTTACGTTTGTGCTGTGGATTTTATTGCAAACGCCTGTTTTAAAATGATTTGGGGGCTGGCAGAGAGATGCACAGCAGATGCAGCTGCATGGTTACTTTGTTAGGCACCGTGAGTGTGGATGTCATGTACAGAGGCTGCACACGAGAGCAAGGGCCCCAGGGCTCTAGCACCACTTGTCATTTATCAGCTCTTTGACCCTCAGCAAATCACTTCTGTCCAAGTCTTCATTTCCTCACCTCAGAAATGTTAGGCCAGAATCAGAGGTTTCCGTGACATACTTTTTTCTTTTTACTCGAACATTTTACAAATGAAACTTTACCCAAAACTCTCTATGTAAAACAAGGCTGTTCTAATTAACAAGCCCTAGAGAGCCAAAAACCCCAACTTTGTTACCCAGCCCCTCCTCCCCAAAGTTTTCCCTAGGAATTGTTTTCTTTCTTTCTTTTTCTTTGTCTTTTTCGGTACTGGGGATTGAATCTAGAACCTTGTGCATGTTAGGCAAACGTTCAACCACTGAGCTACAACCCCTGCTCCCCGGGAGTTCTAAGGTTCAGAAAAGCCCTGGACTAGATTGCTGAAGTGTTCCAAAATTTAACACTTCCTGGCTCTTATGTCAGTAAACTGAGAAAGATTTTGACAAATTTGAGGAGGTAATGCCACAGTAAATGTAATACACACTTACATGCTGTGGAAGACATGGCCAAGTACAATAGGCACTATGGAGAGAAAGATAGGTCCTCCCTCAGGACTACGCTTGATGAGAGAGAATAATTTCTCTAAGGTTTTATAACCATGTACCAATTCAAGGCAACAAGATTTTTTTTCCCTAAAAATTTCTATGACAATTAAAAGAAAGGAAAATGAGTGTGTATGTGTCTGTGTGAAGTCTCCCTCTGCCTCTTATTTTTTATTATTTATTTTGTGGTATTGGGGCTTATACTACGGGCCTTCACCTTGAGCCACTCCACCAGCCCTATATTTGTGAAGGGTTTTTCAAGATAGGGTCTTGTGGAACTATTTGCCTGGGCTGGCTTCGAACCTTGGTCCTCCTGATACCTACTGAGTAGCTAGGTTTACAGGTGTGAGCCACTGGTGCCTGGCTGCCTTTCTATTTTATTAAGACTCATATCATTATATTTTGGGTTCATCTGGAAAATTAAGAATAATCTAGCCATCAGGTCCTTAACCATGTCTACTGAGACTTTACCTCAGCTCCTTGGGGTTAGGGTTTTATGGGGGAGGGAATTTTGGTAAAACAAATAGTTTTACTATCTATGCTTTTCTGGATCTTGGTGACAAATTGTAATAACCTCAAAGTCTATTGATTTATCACATTAAATAAACAGTGATGCATCCATCAACTAGAATAAGATGTGACCACTAAGAAAAATGAAGTGGATCATACTTACTATAAAGTAGGAACAAGCAAGCAGCAGAGGTGCATGTGAATAGTGTATATGGAAAGATTTGTGTGAGACTTAGAAGTGGCTTCCCTAAGGGGAGGGCGGGAGGACTTTCATGTGGCACTTCTGTACTGTTGGAAGTTTTATATGAATTTTTTGTGATACATCCAATATTTTATAATCTAGAAGAAAGTGGACTTGGATTTGGTTTTTCTAAGTGAATTAGGCTGCCAAAGTAAGAGAGGAGTGTTAAAATTTACTTCTTTGATTTGTTTTCTAGATGGCAGACCCTACATTAGCTGAGATGGGAAAGAACTTGAAGGAGGCCATGAAGATGCTGGAAAGCAGCCAGAGGTGAGCGTGGAGGGCACGCCTCCCAACGCGACCAGGCTGCTAGGAAACTGGGGGCTCTGGTTTACCTCTCCAAAGACACTTCTTGACTCCAGAATGTCACACATAGCTTCTGCTGACTTTAGAATTGATACTTGCCATGGGTAGAAGGCACTTTGTAAGTAAAGGATTTTGAAATGAGGGGAAGGACTCACGTGTTTCATTTCTGTCAAGAGTTTTATTTACATAATATATTGATTGATTTGAATCTATAAATACTTCTTTACTATATATTCAGGTCATATAGGGCATCAACTAACCAGCTAAGTATTTTTTCATATTCTTTTATTTTCCTGAAACTCTAAACTGAACCCAAAACTGGGGCTCAGAACCATACTGTGAAAAATATGTTTCAAATGCTTCATGGGTCACTAAGAGGTACTAGGTCACATTTGCATGTTTAAACGTTGTAATTTGATAAAATTGTGATATGATAAAAAAAAATTTTTCTTTTAAATTAGAAGAACAGAGGAGGAAAATGAAAAGAAGCCCCTATCAGAAGATATTCCAGGGCCACTCCAAGGCAGGTAAATGACAATGAAGATTAGATAGCATGTAAATTTTTCTTAACCCGAGATTTTACCATTGTTTATTTACAAGTTTAGTTTGAGCACAGAGAAAATTTCCATAGAGAAATAACTTATAGATAACATTTCATAGATACCATTCAGTAGAACGTCAGGAAACCGAAACACCATTGGCAGGTCAGTAATACTGCTGAGCCTACCAGCTTCTTCATCCAGAATATAATGCAACCCAGGACTCAAAAGCCATGTGTGAATTTATAGTTTTAACTGGAATGTCATGCTTGGTTCATCCTTAAAACCTGTAATCTATTCAGTAAACTAAGTTATATTGTGAAAGAGATTTTTTTATTTGATTTATTATGTTTATAATGTAGTAAGTGTGGCCTGAACTAGCAGGGAAAAAGAAGTAGCTGAGTGGCCAGAGGTAGTGGCCCATGCCTGTAATCCTAGCTAATTGGGAGGCGGAGACCAGGAGGTTGGGTCCAGATCAACCCCAGGCAAACCATTAGCAAGACCCCCATCTCAACCAATAAAAGCTGGGCCTGGTGACAGGCATACACTTGTCACCTCAGCCACAAAGGAAGATCACAGTCCAGGCCAGCCCAGCCTGCTAAAAGCAAAATGGGCTGAGGTAAGTGCAAGACCCTATCTGAAAACAAACGAAAGCACAAAGGGCTAGGGACATGGCTCAAGTGGTAGAGTGCATGCTTTGCCAGTGTGAGGCACTGGGTTCAAGCTCCAGTACTGCCAAAAGGGAAAAAAAAAAAAAAATAAGTAGCTGACGACAGTTTTCACAGGAGCTAGCAGTCAATTTGTAATTAAAAGCTTCCTTGAGGCAAACTTTTTTTTTTCTTTTATAACCAGGAAACTCTGTGTAGGTCTACAATACAACTCCCTTAAATTGTTCTTGACCTGAATATAAACTGTACAAGGTTAAAAAGAACAGTATGGAGGAAGGACCATAATGTCCAGTAAATGTCAGGTGTAATACACCCGGATATTAATATTTTAAGAGTACCACTTCTGCTTACATAGCATGAATTGTGCACTCAAAGCCTTGTAGGTATGCAGTGCTTTCTACAATTCAGAATAGAAAGCAAACTTTGTAGATCTCCTTATCACAAGCCTGAAGGGAACAAAGAGGCTTAAGGTTTTTTTATTCTGATTATACAGAAGTTACCCTAGGAGAGATACTCCCAAGAACATGAGAAATTCTCAGAATGACAGCACTTTAAAACTGGCAGGCACAGTGGCTCAAGTGTAGATCCACCTGCCTAGCAGGCGTGAGGCCCTGAGTTCAAACTCCAGTTCTGCCAAAAAAAAAAAAAAAAGTACAACTTGTCAGGAATATTCACACTTAATGATGCTGGTACCCAGTATTTGAGTTTGGTAATATCCCAGGCATGGCAGTAAGAGAATTATAGGCACTGTCTGATCATCCTCGACCATCCTGTAACATAAGAGCTTAGCAAGTTGGTTAGTCATTAAGGGTCACCAGACCTATAACAAAGTGTGCCCAGAGTTCTCCCTGCCCCAATTGCAGTTTCTGAGGACCAGAGTCCCTTTCATTCGAAGATCAGCACTTCTGGAAGATAGGTTTTTGAGCATTGTTTTTGACAGTGCTGCTTTTTTTTTTAAAGAGAAATTTTTTCTTTGTAGTCTTAACAGATAATATTTTTACATTGCACAAGTCATAAGTTGCCTTACCATTGCTTACTGCTTTAACTGTTCATATTCTTCTCATAAGTTTTCACGCCCTCATGTAGTGAACAGTTGGTAGCATATCTTGGATGGAATAAATCTATTTATACTCTAAGTAGATCTCAAGTCTCCTAATTTGAGGAAGAGTTGGTAATAAAATAATGCTTGTGATAGGTGTTTAAGGCTGTTAGTCTAAGTAGACAAGACTCCTATGGGGGAACTTGCCTCTTTTTTTTTTGGGCTGGGATTTGAACTTGGGCTTCATGCTTGCAAAGCAGGGAGCTACTGGTTGAGCCACACCTCCAGTCCATTTTGCTGTGGTTATTTTGGAGATGGGGGTCTCAAGAACTATTTGCCTTGGTTGGCCTCACACTGTGATCCTCCTCATCTTAGCCTCCCAAGTAGCTAAGATTGCCGACATGAGCCACTGGTGCCAAGCTAGGACTCGCTTATTAAATATTCACTGTCCAAGATTCAAATGAAGTGGTGTAGAAATATTGCTAATACAAAACTGTTGAAGTTTTAGAAACCAAACTCATGGTTAGGTAGAAGAGTTAATTATAAGTAAGGTTTAATCTGAATTCAGGTTATAATTTGAGGATTTTTTAAAAGTGTAAACTATATCTCAAAACACATCCTTTCTCTTGTAGCTTGTTACCCAACTTAAAAAAAAAAAAACTTCTATTAAATCTAGTTTAGGTTGATAAATCACTGGGAGGTGGTGAGGGTACTCTTTTCACCAGTCTGTTAATTCTTTTTATTCTGCAGTGGACAAGATATGGTGAGCGTCCTGCAGTTAGTTCAGAACCTGATGCATGGAGATGAAGACGAGGAGCCCCAGAGCACTCGGTAATGGAGGATGGCTGCCAGCTTCCTTTTCAGAATCCGAGAGTTCTTGAAGTCAGTGATGGCATTCTGACAAGTGCTCCTTCCTCTTGTGTTTCATTCTGAGTTACACGTGGTATCTCAGTAGTATTCATTTCCCTCTTCAGAAAGACATTTTTATGTTTTAGGAAATGTGTTTTATAAAAGGAAGTCATTTACTAAAATTAGATGATGGAGTTTTTATGGTGCTGAGTCTCAGGAAGGGGTCACCAGAAGGGCTGAGGTGCTGTGTGCTTTTCTACTTCTGCTTCTCACTAAAATTAAGTCTCTTAATGGATTGGTGGCAGCCTATATGATCTGAAAATTGTTCATTTGTTCTGTTTATACATCTATCTAGCTATGTATCTATTTTCATTTTGTCTTTAATTTTTTTATTTTGTTTTTTGTAATAAGGAATGGGTTTTCCTTGTTCAGAATTGAGAAGATAAGGTGATTTGGTGGCTCATTCCTGTAATCCCAGTACTCAGGAGGCTGAGGCAGGAGGATTGCAAGTTGGAGTCAGGCCTGGAATAAATAGTTCTTGGCCAGCCTGGGCTACCTAACAAGACTCTCAAAATAAAACAAAATTCAGATTAAAAAGGGGTGTATAGGCTGGGCACAGTGGCTTATGCCTGTAATCCTAGCTACTTGGCAGGCAGAGATTGAGAGGATCGTGGTTCAAGCCCAGCCTGAGCAAGAAGTTACTAAGACTCTTTCTCAATCAATAAGCTTAGCATAGTAGTGCATTCCTGTGATCCCTGCTACTTGGGAGGTTATAGGTAGGAAGATTTGGGCCTAAGGTTGACCTTGTGCAAATAGCAGTAGACCCTCTCCAGAGAATAACCACAGCAGGAAAAGAGTGGGGTCATGGCCTGAATGGTAGAGCCTGCCTTGCAAGCATGAGGCCTTGAATTGAAATCCTAGTGCCTCCAAAGGGCAGGGGAGTTGTCCAGAGAATTTTTCTTCTTCCTCTGCCTCTGTATCTGGTTTTCTTCCCTCGAGATCTTACACAGATAATTTGTGTATGTGTAATATGCAAAACACCCATACTGTGTACTGCCTTTTTCAAAAACATGTATTGGAGTTCATGGATATCACTACACAAGGAGCTTTTTCTTTATTATAAGAGCTACATCATTTTACTTGGAATGGATAAACCAGGTTTTATGTAGCTTCCTATTGATAATTTATTGACACAAACATTTCTGTAGCCCATAACTATGGACATGTGTCATTTCAAATAGAGGCGAGAGTATCTGGCGGGTGAAGTCCTAGAATTGTAGGTTTTGAAATTGGGCTGGAGTGTCCTCACTTCTCTGTTCAGTTGAGCCCTGTCGGGCCCGCCAGCCACACCAGCCAGCTGTGAGAATATGCCTTTCCTACATCTTCACTTGCAAGGCTGTTAGCAGATTTTTAATGTCTTTGATAAGTGATAAATAATGTTATGATAAGTGGGACATTTTAGCATAATTTAAACTTGCATTTTTCTGATGAACTAGGTTAAGCATTTTTAACATTTATTTGTATTTCCCTTTCTCTGAATTATCTGTTCTCCATGATCTTACAGTTGTCTTTTTCTTATTGTTTATAATTAAGAGTTATAAACTTCTTACTGCTTACAGTTATTCTTTATAAGAGAAATGAATCCATCCATTCCAGTGCACAAGAATAAGTAATTCCCGTTGAGTTTGTGGTGTTACTTTCTGTTTTGTTTTGGAGGCACAGTCTCGCTGTGTAGCCCAGGCTGACCCTCTCGCCTCAGCCTCCCCAGTGCTGGGCTTACTGTATCATTTTCAATAACTTTTTAATGCAGAAAACTGATCTTTAACATTGCTTTAAAATGCTTTCTGCTCATTTCATCTTTATTCTGCCCTCTGTAGGTTTTTTCCCTTCTCTAGTGCTGGAGATGGAGCCAGGATGTTGTCGATGGTAGGCAAGGACTCTCCTCCCGTGTGCTAATCCCCCCCAGCCCTCCCCTAAAGTTCTTAAGACTGGTATTTAATTTTAACAATATTTAAGAGGAAATTATTCAGAACATTGTACTCAGTAAAAGGAGAGATGTTAACTTGTAGGACTCAATTTTTCTTTTTTTTTGGCGGCACTGGGATTTGAACTTGGCCTCACGCTTGCTAGGTAGGCACTCTTGCCATTTGAGCCACTCCACCAGCCCATTTTTTGTGTTGGGTTTTTCAAGATAGGGTCTTGGGAATTATTTGCCTGGGGCTGGCTTCAAACCACGATCCTCTTGATCTCTGCCTCCTGAGTAGCTAGGATTACATACGTGAGCCACTGGCGCCCAGGTCAGAACTCAAATCTTAAAAAAATTTTTCTCTCAAACCTTTTAATTCCTAATATGCATTGACTTTATCTGAATTTCTGCCTTCTGAAGTTTTAAGTGGACTTCAAGTTTGACAGATTTCTGTGAAACATTGTATACTAAGTTCTGTTTCCTTTTTTGTTATAGGACTTAAATACTTTTTTTAATCTAATAAATTTTGATTAACAGAATCCAGAATATTGGAGAACAAGGTCACATGGCCTTATTGGGTCATAGTCTGGGGGCTTACATTTCAACTCTGGACAAAGAGAGGCTAAGAAAACTTACAACAAGGATACTTTCAGATACCACCTTATGGCTGTGCAGAATTTTCAGGTAAGGACATGAGGTTTTAGTTTCCAATAAAGATATTTATGAGTCACATCTAGACTGTGAGGGATCTTTTTTCTGACGCTAAACCTGGTTCAGATTTGCCTCTTTGGAAGGATTGCTTACCTCCTCACACCTTTCAGTTCTGTCACCTGTTATGGCACAGCAGTAACATCTACAACCTTACTTGGTGTCCTTGGGAGGATTAAGTGAATTTATGGATTAATACAAGTAAAGAATGAGCATGAAGGCACATGTGTTGGCTGGTGTTAGCAGTTACTTACTTTTAGGTATTTTCCAAATTTGGCACATTAATAGATGATAGAACAATGATCTGAATCAAATACTCTTTTTTTTTTTTTTTTTTCAGTACTGGAGTTTGAACTTGGGGCCTCAAACTTGCTAGACAGGCATGCTACCACTTAAACCATGCCCCCAGCCCTCTTTTGCCTTAGCTATTTATCATTTATGCCCAGGCCACCTGGACCTCGATCCTTCTATTTAAGCTTCCCAGGAAGCTGGCATGACAGGTCTGTGCTACCATGTCCAGCTTTTTTTATTTTTTAATTTTTTTTTTTGGTCCTGGGATTTGAACTCAGGGCTTTGCAGGTTGCCAAGCAGGAGCTGTACCATTTGAACCATGCCTCCAGTCCTTTTTTGCTCTGGTTACTTTTGAGAAGGGTCTTGCTTTTTGCCCAAACCGGTCTGGGCCACAATCCTATTTTTATGCTTCCCACATAGCTGGGATGACAGGAGTGTACCACCATATCCAGCTTTTTCTGTTGAGATGGGGGTCACATAAGCTTGTTGCTCAGGCTGGCCTTGAACCATGATCCTCTTGAACTCAGCCTCCCAATTAACTAATATTACAGGCATGACTCACTGGCACCAAGCACACCCAGCTTGGTAGAGATGGAGTCTTGCAAACTTTTCCACCCAGGCTGGCCTCAAATTGATGCACCTGATCTATACCTCCTGAGTAGATAGGTTACAGATAGAAGCCACTGCATCCGGCCTCACTTACTTTAGAGCATTGTCTTCCTCCTCCTCCTCTAGGAGATTGAGACGAGTAAAAAGCCCTGAGCAGGTTATAATAAAAGCAAAACTTAGCCTGACTAGCATTTTTGACACTTTTATTTATTTTTGATGTTTTAGAACTGAAATTCTATCCAGAGCTGGCCTACATGTACAATCAATCAGAACCCTCATCTTCAGGCTTTTTGCATTGGGGGATTCATAGTCTTGAAACTATGATTGTCATAGGTTCTGCTCTTTCTGGAGTTGAATGTGAATGATGGGTCCTTATCACTCTCCTTTATAACCTTATAATGAATTGTCAGCCAGCCATGTAAGATGGGGACACTCTTGTCCTCTCTAACTAGGTGACAGACAGTATGTAGCTGAGAAAAGAATTGCTTTCGTGATGATAAGATGGACATGTAAAATCAGAATTAACCAGAAATGATAGTACATTAATACTTCGGCTCTCTTGCTAGATACGAAAATGGCTGTGCTTACTTCCACGAAGAAGAAAGAGAAGGACTTGCCAAGATCTGTAGGCTTGCCATTCATTCCCGCTATGAGGACTTTGTCGTAGATGGATTCAATGTGCTATACAACAAAAAACCTGTTGTGTATCTTAGTGCTGCTGCTAGGCCTGGCCTGGGCCAATACCTTTGTAATCAGGTAATGTGGGGAGATTTTTTTCTTTCCTTTTTTTAGTGGTAGTGGGTTTTGAGCTCAGGGCTTCACACTTGGAAAGCAGGTGCTCTCCTGTGTGAGCCACACCTCCAGTCCATTTTGCTCTGGTTATTTTGAAAATGGGGTCTCGAGAACTATTTGCCTGGGCTGGCCTCAAATCCCTTACACCACCCTCCCGAGTAGCTAGGATTACAGGCATGAGCCACTGGTGCCCAGCTAAGGTAGATATTTTAAACAGTGTCTTATGGTTTGTTTTTGGTTTTGATTTTGTTTTTGCAGTGCTATGAATTGAACCCAGGGCCTCATACATGCTTGACAAGCTCTCTACCACTGAACTACACCCCCAGCCCCGATGTTTTGCCCGAGTTACCATATGATTGTTGTACTGGGGTACATGGTGTCATTTACAAAGGTTCTTACAATGTATGATAGTTGAATTCACCCCCCTGCCTTGAAACTTTGAAACCATGCAGATGCATTTCTCTAGCTGCCATTTTTCTCAAGGTAAAAGAAAGATGGCCATCTTGAATACTTTTTTTGTTATTATAAAAAGCAAAACATTATTGAATTTAGAAATATGTGAGATAGATACATTTATATATTTTTGATTGCCCAGAGACAACCACTGTCAACATTTTACTTTCATTCCATACTTCTTTCTTTTGTAGTACTAGGTATTGAGCCCAAGGCCTTGAGCATGCTAGACCAGTGCTTTACCACTTGTGCCTATGCCTCCAGCCCTTTTGTTTCTGAGATAAGGTTTTGCTAACTTTGCCTAGGCTGGCCTGAACTCAGGGTCCTCCCTGAGTTTGCCTGTTAGGTAGCTAGATTACAGACATGCACTGCTGTGCTCAGCTCATAGCTTTCTAGACTTTAATAAAAGAGAATGCATGTCTTTTTACATGGTTGTATGTGGCTGTTTTCACTTTCCGTTCCAGCAGGAATATATCATATTTTAACATTTTCAAAGCAAGCTTTAATATTTTCATGATAATTCTTTAAGTAAGTGTACACCAATCTAATGAGCTATCTACCTTTTGGGGAGAGGTTTTTGGTTTGTTTTTTTTTTTTTCTTTTTTGGTGCTGGGATCAAACCCAGGGCCTCACGCATGCTAGGCAAGCGCTGTACCACCGAGCTACATCCCAGCCCGCTATCTCCCTTTTGGACAGATAGTGTCTCCATGCACTTTCTGTGACTGCTAATGTTCTTTGTGTGGTGTTACGGCTGTCTCTGTTCCTAGAGCTTCCCTGAGTTAGGGTTATAGTCCTCTGGTAAACGTTCAGAGTCAATACAGGATTATTAGATCAAATGCCATTACCAATTTTCAAGTACATGGTGCATATAAGGTAAAGTGGGAGACTACCTTGAGGCAAGAAATTGTTAACCCTCTTGCCAAGAATGGTCAACAGAAAGTGCTTAGAAGTGGAGGACTGATGTGAGATGGAAGGCCTGGGATGTGTAGAGGAAACTGGGGGACTTCAGCTGGTTCTAAGCTGTGGTGGTGATAGCAAGAAGTCTGTCTTATTCTTGATGGTGCACAGAATAGAGAGTTTCGTAATTTTTCTTTCTGGCAGTGCCATGGTTTGAACTAAAGGCCTTGCACTTGCTAGACAGGGGCTCTACCACTGCACTTCCCCCAGTCACTGCCTCCTGATAACTCGCTAGGATTACACCTGTGAACCAGCACAATTAGCCCTCATAGTACTGGTTTTTTTGTTTGTTTTGGCAATAATTGGAATTTGAACACAGCTTAGCACTTGCCAGGCTCTGCTTGAGCCACACCTTCAACCCTTTTTGCTTTGGTTATTTTGTAGATAGGGTCTTGCTTTTTGCCCAGACTGGCCTAGACTGAGATCCTCCTGTTTTACACTTCCCACTGTAGCAGGGATAACCAGTGTGTGCCACCACATTCAGCTTTTTTCATTTGCCTGGGCTGACCTGGAACCATGATCCTCCCTATTTCAGCCTTCTGTGTAGCTTGGAATGACAGGTGCGGGCTACCACACCTGCCTATTAGTTGGGGTCTCGAATGCTATTGGTCCTGGATGGCCTCCAACTACAGTCCTCCTGGTTCCAGCCTCCCAAGTAGTTAGGATTATAGGCACAAGTCACCAGAACCCAGCTGTATAATATTCTTAAACAAACATGAAACATACCAAGTACCTTCTACAAGCCAGGCTCTTCTAGTCCAAAGCTATCATGGGACAGTAACCCAATCTTAAACAATGTGTAAGAGTATTCTGTTAAGTGAGAAAAAGCAAGTGGCAGAACAGTGTAAGATGGTCATGATCATGTTTTAAAAGTGGGTACATGATTGTATACATAAATTTTATACCAAGAAAAATATCTGAATACAGAGATTAACAGTGGTGGATTGGTGGCTCATGGGAAGAGGCATTTTCACTTATAGTTTTTTTGGGGAGGGGTGGGCAGTACTGTGGCCTCCCACATGCTAGGCAAGCACTCTTCCAGTTATACCTCTAGCCCTTTTTAAATTTTATTTATTTATTTCTGTAGTTCTGGAGTTTGAACTCGGGGCCTCACACTTACTAGGCAGGTGCTCTACCACTTGAGCCGTACCACCAGTCCTGTTTTTTAGTTCGGTATTTTTGAGATCGGGTCTTGAGAACTTATTTGCCAGGGCTGGCTTCAAACCACGATCCTCCTGATCTCTGTCTCCTGAGCAGGTAGGTGTACATGTATCTACCACCAAACCTGGCATAGTGTGTTTTTGTTTTGTTTTATTTTTGATGATTTGTTTTACTTTGGTATTATTTTTGTAGTTTTTTTTTTTAATTCTTTTAAGTTGGAAAGTATGTGAATAATGTCCTTGTTAAATTTTTGGTCTTAAATGCTACCAAGTCTTAATTACATAAAACTGCAGTTGTTTACAGTTCCTGAAACTGAACTATAGATTTGGAAGCTAAAAATGAAGAATATAAAATTATTTTGACAATCACTCTATCCATCCTTATACTGATGTCACTTCTCTTAAGAAATGTAGATCTGCTAATCCATATTTATTAGGTCAGGAGTGGGAGAGACCATAAAAAAGATACTGTTCTTTGAGTGCCTTCAGTTGGTGTTATTTACCAGAAATGCTTGGAGGAAGAATCCTAAATTACCCCAAATACTCAGTGCTCAATAGTTTCTTTGTTTGGAAAAGTCTTTGTTTTTTGGTTTATTCTAGAATATCCCAAAGATGGTTACTTGACTCATTTAGATTTTTTGTGCTGGTGCTGGGGCATCATATCCTCTCATGAAGCACTTGGAAATCCCCCCTTCTGTGTGTGTGGTGGGGGAGTTGACTTTCCATGTGTACTTTATTATCTATTCATGATAAGAGTTCCAGAGTGGAGAGATTCTTTTTTCTTTTTCTTGAGATGGACTTGCTATGTAGCCCAGGTTGGCCTTGAAGTCAAGATTTTTCCTGTCTCAGCCTCCCAATTGATGGGATTAGATATGTAAATACAGATACTCCTGGCTGATTTTTTTTTTTTTCAGTACTGGGGTTTGAACTCAGGGCCTCATGCTGGCTAGGCAGGTGTTCTACCACTTGAGCCATTTCACCAGCCCAGTATTAGGGTTTGAACTCAGGGCCCCACACTTGCAACTGAGCATTGAGCCTCACCCTTTTTTCTTTCATTTGTTTTCAGATAGGGTCTTGCACTTTTGTCTGGGTAGGCCTTGGACTTCGAGTCTCCTACCTCCGCCTCCCATGTATTGGGTTTACAGGCATGCTTTACCATGCCCAGTTTGTTTTTGAGATAGGATCTCATTATCTCAAAAGGCCTAGTCTGGCCTTGCACCTCAATCCCCTACCATCACCTCTCAAGTAGGTGAGATTATAGGCATACTACACCACCCCCAAGCCCAGCTGAGATTTTTTTTTTTTTATCTTCTGGGGTTTGAACTCAGGATCTCATGCTGGCTAGCAAGACAGGCACCCTACCACCTGAGCCATTCCACCAGCCTTTTTTCGTATTGGATATTTTTGCCATAGGTCTTGCAAACTGTTTGTCCAGGCTGTTCCCCAAGTAGCTAGGGTTACAGACTTGAGCCACCAGGGCCCAGGCCTAGGTGAGATTTTTGTAAAGAATACTGATGGCTTGTCTTCAGCCGTCAGTCTGTCACAATCCTAAGTGAATGATAACAAGGATCTTTCTTCTAAAGTTGCTTGTTTGTTCTTGCAGCTCGGCCTGCCCTTCCCCTGCTTGTGTCGTGTGCCCTGTAACACAATGTTTGGATCCCAGCATCAGATGGTGAGTTTTCCTTTTGGAGAATATAATATGTGGAATGGATTTTGAAAGCATGTCTGTCTTTGAGCTGATGTTCTCAAGAACTGGCCTCCAGCTAGTTCTTAGCTTATTTGCTGATTTCTTCAGTGTTTCCTTTGTGCAATGCATGCTGCTATGTTTAATGTCCATGACAGTTGGCCAGTACAGGTCAGGAACACCTGGCTCTTAAGCAATCTCATGATCTCTATATCACTTGCTTCTTCTGGAGATGGAACTCCTGCATGCTAAGTACACGCTTTCCCCAGCCCTGTTGCCTCCTCAAGTAGAAACATGACAACCCAGTTACATACCACAGGTTCCCTCTAAAGCTCACAGTTTTAAATAGTCATCACTGTTGCCTGGGTTCACGAATGGGCAGATTTTCTTTTTGTTTTGTTTTGTTTTTGAGACAGGGTCTTGCCATATAGCCCATACTGGCCACTTACTTGAGCTGCTTCTGCCTCGGTGTCCTGTGTGTGAATGGGCAGATTCTGACGAGGTTCTTCATTGTGATTATTATCAGACACATGAGCGAGAAAGCTGTACATACTGAAGCCAGAAGGAAAAGGATAGATTTTAGGGTTCCACATTTCTTTTTTTTTTTTTTTTTTTCCAAGGTACTTTGTTTCATACTTCAGGTTCAAGTAAATACTTTTCCATTTTTGAGAATGAGAGAACTTTTTCTTTAAATACAAATAAGTATTGGTATTGTACAGTTTTACTTTTAATTTCATTCATAGCTGACTTTTCTAATTAAGCTTCAGGGAAAACTATTCTCTTCTGGCATCTGTGAGTAGAATTGTCAAGAATAAGAATGATTTGAGTAATTTTGAGTCACCTCTGCTGCATTTGGAAGTCATAGTTTTTCCGTGTACACCTTTTATGCTAGTTGCCTTATGTGCCTATGGTTTGTTGGTCTTAGGATGTTGCATTTCTGGAGAAACTGATTAAAGATGACATAGAGCGAGGAAGACTGCCCCTGTTGCTCGTCGCAAATGCTGGTATGTATCATAAACCTGGTTCACTTTGCTCATATAAGAAAGACAGTTACTTTGCCAAAAAGGATGGTGTCTTAAGAAATGTTTTGCCAAGTGTTGGTGCTCATGCCTGTAAACATAGCTATTCAGGAGGCAGAGATCAGGAAGATCATGATTCGAAGCCAGCCCCAGGCAAATAGTTCATGAGACCCCATCTCGAAAGAACCCAAAAACGGGCTAACAGTGTGGCTTAAGTGGTAGAGCACCTGCCTAGCAAACTTGAGGCCCTGAGTTCAAACCTGAGTGCTGCCCCACCCCCCCAAAAAAGAAGAAAATTTTCTGTGTCACCTGTTTAAGTCAGTCTGTATCTGAATGTGGTGAAATTTATAATATCATAAATAGCTCTTTAGATTTTCTATTATTAATATGTTTTGGGATTTGGGTGTGTGTTTATGTGTGTACTTTTTCATTTAGGACTTTAAATACACTTTTCTGTAGTCTTCTTGCCCTTCCTTTCTTCTTCATAAATTAAATTTTAAAATGTCACACTTAATGCCCACCTGTAGACAGCAGGTCAGCTAGCATTTTCTGTACGTTCACTTACTGTATCAAATTCAACATTGTACTTTAAATCCTAGTGCAATAAGGCAAAAACCCAAATAATTAAATGATACACAAGAGAATTAGGGATAGTAACACTGTCTTTGTTTGTAGGTGGCATGATTGTATAGATAGAAAGCTTTAAAGAAACTGAAGAAAAGCTACTGGAATTAATTAGTGAACCTAGCAAGGTTTAGGTTTCCACCTATTAACAATGAACTAATGGAAATTGAATTCTATTTTTATTTTTTAATTTTTTTAATTTTTCATTTATTCATATATGTATACATTGTTTGGGCCATCTCTGCCCCCCTCCCTCCCACCCCCCCTTGCTTCCAGGTGGAAATTGAATTTTAAATGTCATTTATAATAGCTTCAAAAAGTATGTAAGCTTTCCAGGCATGGTAGTACACATGTGTAATCCCAGCTACTTAAGAGGTGGAGACAGGAGGATTGAGGTTTGAGGGCAGCCCAGGCAAAGTTAGCAAGCGCGTATGTCAAAAACAAGACCAAAGGACTGGTGTGTGGCTTAAGTGGAAAAGAGCTTGAGACTCTGTTCAGTCCCCAGTTTTGCAAAAACAATAACTTAAAAAATAAACATGAAAACATTATGAATAAATTTAACAAAAAATATATACAGTATCTGTACATTAAAAACTATAAAATATAAAGCTGGGATTGTGGCTCACGGGGCAGAGCTCCTGAGTAGCAAGCTCTGGGCCCTGAGTTCAAACCTCAGTACCACCAAAACAAAAAACCTTCAGAATATTGCTGAAAAAAATGCAAGAAGACCCAAGTAAATGGACTCATGCTGTATGCGTGGGTCAGAAGACTCAGTATACTAAGTCAGCTCTCCCTGAGCTCATTGCAGAGTCAGCCCAACCTCATCAAAACCTCAGCAACCTGTCATTTCCTACAGACATTGATAAGCCTTTTTGTAAACTATACATGGAAATACGTGGGATCTAAGAATAGTCAAAGTCATTCTGAAAAAGAAAGGCATTGGAAGACTTATCCCCTGACTCAAAGCTACAAATGCGCTGGGATGGGGCTCAGTGGTAGAATGCAGGCTTAGCATGAGTGAGGCCTTGGGTTTAATTTCTAGCACCCCTCTGCAAAAAAAAAAAATCAAGCCTGCATGAGGTTAATTAAAGAGAATAGAGAGTTCAGAAACAGACTCATATGTATGGTCACTTGGTTCTTTACAAACATGTCAAGAGTAATTCAAGGGAGAAAGAATAGTCTTTTCCTCCAGTGGTTCTAGACAATTGGATATTCGTATGGAAAAAACTGACCTTGACCCTTACCTCACTCTTTATATAAAAGTTAATCATAAATAGTTCATAGACCTAAACATGAGAGCGAAGGTAATAAAACTCCTAAAAGAAAATGTAGGAAACCATCTTCATTTCCATGGGGTGGACAAAGATTTCTCAGAACACAGAAAACATGACACAAAATTAGTCTTTATCAGTACTTAAAATCTTGCCTGGAGTGTAACTCAGAGGTGGACCTTGTGCTTACCTGTGCAAGACATATGGTCAGTCCCCACAACCACCAAGAAATTTTTTTAAAAAAAGGAAAGAAAAGAAATATGATTTTAAAACACAGGGCTGGGGATGTAGCTCAGGGGTAGAGTGCTCGCCTAGTATGCACAAGGCCCTGGTCAGTCCTCAGCATTGCATAAAAAGTCACAGCGAGATGCTATTAAACCTGTTAGAGTAGAGAAAATAAAAAACGCAGTGCCAAATGCTGGTGAGGATTAGAAGCCACACCACCAGTAGAGTGGTGTCAGAAGACTCAGTATACTAAGTCAGCTGTCCCTGAGCTCATTGTTGTCAGCCCAACCTCATCAAAACCTCAGCAACCTGTCATTTCCTACAGACATTACTGCCAGTCTAGAAAAGTTTGGCAATTCCTCAAAAGGCTAAACCTAAACTTACCATACAGTTCATCAGTCCCACTTCTTTATGCTTATCAAAGAGAAGGGAAAACATAAACTCCACACAAAGACTTGTGTGCAAATGTCATCAGTGATCCGAATGTCCTTCACCTGGCGAGTGGACATATTGAATAGGATGTATCCATAGAATAGATAATAAGCAATAAGCAGAAAGAACTACTGACATGCATGTCAGCCAGGAGAAATTTCAAAAACATGCTATCTATAAAAATCAGACACAAAGAGCATGATTCCATTGATAGGAAATTCTGGAAAAGAACATAACTATAGAGACAGAAACAGAAGAGTGGCTGCAGGAGGGGTGAGGAGATAGTTTTTATCTTGATTGTGGTATTGGTTACACTGTCTACATGTGTCAAAACTTACTGAACTCCATGTTTATATGAGTGGATTTTATTGCATGTGTAACTCAATAAATTTATTTTTTTTTTAATTCTTACATGTGCACCTTATTGCTAGCAGGAAAACCATCACTTCCTGCCAGACTTACCTTACTGTATGTTTAAAAAGATAGGGAAGGGGGTGAGGGAAGGGGGGAGAAATGACCCAAACATTGTATGCAAATATGAATTAAAAAAAAAAAAGACATACAAACCCACCCATGTTTAGTCACTTGATAAACTGGATGGACTGCAGTTGGCATGTGACTGTGACTTCCCTGGGTGACTACATTGCCATCGCCAGAATACACATCTCAGGAATTAGCCCACAGACTGCCAAAAAAAAACGTGAAAAGGAGCTGGGCGCAGGTGACTCATGCCTGTAATCCTAGCAACTCAGGAGGCAGAGATCAGGAGCATTGCGGTTCAAAGCCAGCCCAGGCAAATAGTTCACAAGACCCTATCTTGAAAAAAAAAAAAAAAAGAAAAAAATGTGAAAAGGAATCATTGTGGTTCAGTCACTCAACACAGCACTGTACTAACTATTTGGCACTACTCATGTGTTGGTGTTTTTTCTTGTTTCACCTAAACTAAATGTGTCTCTTAAGATATTTTTAAAATCTGAGATAGACTTATTTATGTATGAGGGAGAGAACAGTTCCAGCCCTTTGCCTGGCATAGACCCTGCAAAAGAACCACTTTCTTTGGTTTGTTGAGGCCATAGGTGAGAGTGTGGAATCTCAGCACCTGGGACTGTGCTCACTAAAAAGTTAGGGTGTTGGAGAATGCTTGTTTTAGGTACGCTCTGTCTGAAAAAAGGATGTGCCAGGCAAATCTGTAGTGCAACTAAGTTACCAAAGGGGTGGCCTAGGGTTTGACCCGCTTAAGTAGGCTTCAGATGCATGTTCTGTGCTAGCAAAGGGCCTGGGTGGCAAAGCCCCCAAATTCACCTAGGTATTTTTTTATAAAGGAAACACTTAAACACAGTAGCTCAGAACATGATAAAAAAGTATGGAAAAACTGACAAAAGTACTGTTGCAAGAGAAGTGTGAGGAAGCATAAAACCCCAACTGAAAACCAGAAGCAAAAAGGGCTAGGAACATGGTTCCAGTGGTATCTCGGCGAGGCCCTGAGTTCAAAACCAGCAAAACAATGAGTGTGGAATAGAATATGATTTGTGTGACAGAAGACACAATCTGCAAGAGGTAACTCTTATGAATGCTTTGGAGCATAACTTTGAAATGTATATGGGAAAAAACAGAGGGATGCAAGTATAAAATGACAAACCACAATCTTGGGAGACTTGACTATATTTCTCATGAGTCAGAAAATCTAATAGCTAGAAAATCAGTACATGGACGATTTCAGTAGCAGTTCGATATATATAACAAAGAATACATGCTCTTCAAAGCCTATGTAAATCAACTTATAAAAGTTAATTTTTTCCCATGAAAATAGGGATATAATATGTTACTTCCCTCTTAGGGAGATACAGTGTATAAAACTCATGTGCTGTATCCAGGAAGTGCTTGGTTTTTTTTTTTGTTTTGTTTTTTGGGAGGAAGGCTTGTTTTGACTCACAGTTTTTGTTCCTTCTAATGTCCTTGCCTATTTTATCTTAGGAACTGCCGCAGTGGGACACACAGACAAGATTGGACGTTTAAAAGAGCTCTGTGAGCAGTATGGCATATGGCTCCATGTGGAAGGGTAGGTAGGTGGGGAGCTTGGTTGACCACATTGGGCCTGCACTCTGCAGTGACATTCATCACTGAGGACTCTTGGTTGCAGATAACAGAATAACCCAAGTTGACTGAAGCTAGAGATATTACCGGTTCCTATCACTAAAAAGACCAGTTTAGGACTGGCTTTAGGCACAATATCAACCAGAATTCAGAATCTCCTTCCCCTTCCTCCTCAATCACAGTCACTTGCTTGATTTCCTGTTTTGGATACTTTCCTATTATGGTGCAAAGTAACTGCAGAAACTCTGATTTCCTTTCTGGTTTCATGAGTCCCAACAATAGTCTCATGTTGAGCCAATCACTGTGGCCAAGAAAATGGAATGGGTCATTTGCCCTCCTCTGGAGTAAGTGGCGACTCCTCCACTCTCCTCATGCTCTGGTAGAGACCATAGAGCTGGTTTCCAGATAGCCGCTGGAGTGCATTTAAGGGAAGAGGGGGGGAAGGCTGGGGCTGTAGCTCAGGTGTGTTTACTTGGCATGCACTGGGTTCCATCCCCAGCATCACAGAAAAAAAAAAAAAGCTGCTAAGGGAATGGGGGTTGGGGGCATGCAGGGCAACCAGATGCCCATGCCACTACATGATCCCAGGTAGGAGCGTTTTATCTTCCTCTCTAAAAAGAGTGATGACTGGAAACGGTGGCCGTGAAGCATGCTGGACTAAGCACAGCATCCCCTGAAGTGCATTCAGGTGAAAACGTATTGTGCAGGTTTTCCTGGCACTCGTGTAATAAAAGCTAATGACACAGCTGAAAGACATGGACATATCACCTTGCAGCAGCACAGCTGGGGGTTTTGGAAAGTACATACTTAGTGAATAAGTGAGTAATTAGTTGGTGTTTTTTCTTCCAGTGTGAATCTGGCAACACTGGCTTTAGGTTATGTCTCCTCGTCTGTGCTGGTACGTGTGGATTTACTAAATATCGGTGGTAAGGAGTTGACAGCCTCTCAATCCCTGGTGGCTTTTCACAGTTTTACGACTGGTGGAGGGAGTGGGTTTCATGGTTTCTGATCATCTGATGACAAGTCACTCTCGTCCTGGTAGGCTGCAACCAAATGTGATAGCATGACTCTGACTCCTGGCCCATGGCTGGGGTTGCCAGCTGTTCCTGCAGTGACACTTTACAAGCATGATGATCCTGCCTTGGTGAGCTGGCTCTCATCTGGGGAGGAGGGAAGGGAAGGGGTAGTATTAGTGCTGGCTTTAGGGACAAATTAAAAAAAAAAAAAAACGAAAATGAAATTTTTCCTTAATTTCACTTGTACTCTTTTTAGGGGAATGGGACTGGGGTTTGAACTCAGGGCTTTGTGCTTGCAAAACAGGTGCTCTACAGCTTGAGCCACACCTCCAGTCCACTTCGGTTATTTTGGAGGTGGGGGTCTTATGAAATATTTGGGAGGATCGAACCTACTGGTGCCCAGCTACTTTTTTGTAATTTATTTTTTGTTACTTTAAAAAAAGTTATTTTAGGGCTGGCAGACTGTCTTAAGTGAAAAAAATTATTTTAATGTAAGTGAAGCCATACTATATATATTTTTCTATTTATTCACCCTATACATCCCTATATGTATGAAGGATTTTTTTAATGACCGAATAATGTCTGTCACTTAAGTATCACAGTTTATTTAATCATGGCTGTTTGTGAGCAAAGTTTTGTAACAAATGAGACAATGATCATCTTTCTGCATTTCATATTATTTTTTAGAAGGTTCTCAAAGTGAAATTACTGAGTGGGAATGTTTTAAGGCTCCTAATCCACATTCTCCAATATGTTATGATGTGATTTTTTTTTTTTTTTTTAAGGTAGCAACTCACTATATAGCTTAAGCGGGCCTTAAACTCCACAAAAAAAAAAAAAAAGTTTTGGTGCTGCTAGGGATCAAACCTAGGGACTTGTATATGCTAGGCAAGCACTTTCACTAACTACATTCCTAGCCCTAGGTTTTTTGTTGTTTTTTTTTTTATCCTAACTTCTGTTTTTTGATAATAGGGTGACAGGCATGTGCAAAATAAGCACTAACTGGTTACTACTTACACAGTTGATAATGGCCAGGTATTTAAGGATGCTTGGAGCAATCTTGAAAGGGGCTGCCTATTTATTTATTTATCTGTTTATTTATTTATATGTATTTTATGGTACTGGGATTTGATCTTGGGATCTCGGGCTTGCTAGGCAGGTGCTGTTACACTTGAGCCACATCCCCAGCCCTTTTTGCTTTAGTTTATTTTTTAGCTATTGTGTCGCTAAAGGGGCTGCCTCTTGAATGGCTAAAAGTTATTGCTCTGGGATGTGATTGGTCTAGGGTCTCATGATGCAATAGCTTTGCCACTTCTTACCCATGAGCCCTTGGACACAGTCAGGTCTTTGAGTTAGGCTACCCAGAATACTCACCTCTTGGAGCTTTTGGGAGATCAAATGGATAACACAAGCATGTGCCTAGCGTAGCGTCTGTCACGTTCACTAAGTAGTAAATGACAGCTAGTGGGCTCAGAGATTCTGGTGGTTTTGATTAATGTGCCCATATTGGCTTTTTTTAGACGTTAGTTGCTGGTCTTACATCAAATAAACCTTCAGACAAACTCCGTGCCCTGCCTCTGTGGTTATCTTTACAATACTTGGGACTTGATGGAATTGTGGAGAGGATAAAGCATGCCTGTCAACTCGTGAGTAGAAACCTGACAGTTAAGTGCGTCTGCTCTTGACAAGAGCAGAACATGTTTCTCTTCTGTCCCCCATCGCATACCTCCTCATCTGGATCTGCCATCTCAAGTAACACGCTAAGTGCCCTGTGTGTGTATACTTCCTGTTTTGTTTTGTTTTTTTTTTTTTTTGCAGTACTGGGGTGTGAATTCAGGGCCTTGAGCCACCCCACCAGCCCTTTTCAGTGCTGGGTATTTTCAAGATAGGGTCTCGCAAACTGTTTTTCCAGGCTAGCTTCAAACCATGATCCTCTTTATCTCTGCCTCTCGAGTAACTACGGCATAGACCTGAGGCACTGGCACCCAACTTGTGTATGTTTCTTGTAGAGATTGCCAACGTTGACCAAGCATTGTGTCCAGATGAAATCAGATTGTGGTACTGGGGTTCGAACTCGGGGCCTCAGGCTTGCTAGGCAGACACTCTACCACAACTCCAGCCTGTGTCATTTTTTATAATTAAGAAAATTAGCATTTTCATATTTCTTTAGCAGTGGTTCATAGGTTAGTTCCTTCTTAACATTAAGAAATAATTTTAAGATTTGTATTTACAAAAGCACCATACTTTTTTCTAAAACATGTTTACACTGTGCTATTTGCTCACATCTTGATTTGGTTCTAAGTAAAGAGAGGCTTTTTTCAAAAGCCTTAGTAACTTTGTCAATCCAGGGAAGGTTTGGGCACTCGGGATAGTTTTCAATTCCACTTGGCCTGAGGAGTGTAGAAAAATAATGATATGAACTACCAAACCCTTGGGGTCACCACAGCTCAGGTGTGTACCTCAGGTGGAGCTCCTGAGGAGCTCCAGTCCTCCTGAGGATTTGCACAGTGCCCTAACGCTGCCTCACTGTGCACAGTGCACATGATAAACTGCATAGGCACATCTGTGCCTTACAGTCCACACTGTGCAGCCAGTCCTAAGAGCGGAGAGCAAGCAGTCCTGCCCTTCCCCCTTCACTGTGGCATTTCCTCAGTGCCAGGAATCACAAAGCGCTGTCTGTGGGGGAGAGTGGAAGCTCCACCGTTAACAACATATTTGAAATGAGCATTCATGGGGTGTCTGTTGAGTTGGTGTGGCCTTACTCCATGAGTTTTCATCACCATTTTGTCACTGAGGGAACTGGGACTGACATAGTATGTAGCAATCGTGAAGTGAGGTGTGTACCAAACTTTACACAATGCATACTGTGGTCCAGGAACTGTTTCTAAGGGTTACTCTTCACAGCAACCCAGTAAGGTGGTTACTGTCATCCCATCTTACAGTGGAGGGAATTGGAGCATAGACAGCTTAAATACCATGTCCAAGGTCAGAGCTGGAGAGTGATGGCTGGGGTAACTTAGCCTGGTCCTGCAGGTGCTGTGCTGCAGAGCTGCACCGTAACCAGCTGTGGAGCACACAGTGCTCTCACTTAGCTGTCTCCTCCCCGTGCTCACGTTTGCACTCAGCAGTCTTCTCTGAAATGGCTTGTATTGCTAAGAGGAGGTTCATGTCTCATTAGAAACAGCTTTTCTTGACTCACCAGTAACTTGTAACTGAACAATTAAAGGTTATTTTCAGGTGTTGAATTGCAAAACTTGCAGCCACATTTAGAAATCACCAAGCTGCAGATGCTTCTGTCTGCCTGAGATGCGTGTCTGAAGACCTGCAAAGGTCCTCATAACGACTGTTAATAGGTCACATCAACCTAACAAAGTCACACAGGCTGTTTCTTGTCGCTTGCAGAGTCAGCGATTGCAGGAAAACTTGAAGAAAGTAAACAACATCAAAATCTTGGTATGTGATATCATTTTGTCTCAAGTAAATAACTTTAGTGGGGGCATTATTGGGGTTTGAACTCAGGCCTTGTGCTTATGTGGTGGCTCTGTAACATGGAGCACACCAGCAGCCCTTTGGCTTTCAGGTTTTGGGGGTTTTGGTTTTTGCTTTCTTCCAGATAGGATGTCATACTTTTGTCCAGGCTGGCTTCAGACCCCCGTCCCTCTACTCTGCTTCCCAAGTAGCTGGGACACCAGACTGGGATAAATAATTTTCTTTTTAGTTTCAACAAGAGAATGATTTTTTCCAGGTATGATACATTTCACTGGACTTTTGGCTGCTGTAATGAAAACAGTCTTTGGGGGAGAATCAAGCATGTGTTATGACCTAATTACATAGTTAGCCTGAAACTAAGCAATTGATGCCATAAATGTTTGAATTTCTGTAGTCCATTTGTCCTGTTAAGATTTAGGATCCTGCAAAGATGTTATAAGTACCAGTGACTTCACCTGCACAAGGACTTGAGCACACCCATCTTCTGACAAGTCATTGTTTGGGACTGGGGTCATGGCTCAAGTGGTAAAGCACCTACCTAACAAGAACAATGCCCAAAGTACAAACAAACAAAAAAGAAGTCTCAAAATCATTGTGTCTCAGAATGTTCTGGGCTGTTTTTTTTCTGGAATCTTACGCCCAAAGTGGGATGACGAACAGAAAATAAGTGACCCTGTTCTCATCTTGTCCTGGTATCTTCTGAAAATGAATCTCTCAGAGGTTGCCACCTCAGGAAAATAACTAGACAAAGAGATGAGCACTTAGCAGTTTTCGTGTCTTGCTTCATTGTATTTTGGAATTTCAGGAAATGTGTACGTCATATTTTTATTAAATAAGCTGAGTGTGTTTTCAACAGTTCTCAGAGAACAGCTGAAAACTGATGGTTTATTTGGGGTTCAAGTCAGTAGAGTTGGTTCTGTTGAAGCACACGTGCAGGGTGAAGGGTGTGGAGGGGGTGCTCCACGTCATCCTTCAAAGCGCTGGTAGAAAGTTCTCAGGCCAGCCACTGCTCTTCTCTCCAATGAGCATTTCCTGGCGTGGCCCTTCTTGTGAAGGCACACCCACCCTTGGAACATAGTTTCATGACTAGAGCTAGAATGCTGCAGTTGGTGGCTGTCCCTGCAGAAACACCACAGAGCCTGCCAAGGGCTTGGCTTCTCAGCGTGTGCCCTGAGCAGTGGCGAGGCTGCCGCTCAACTGTACGTTGTTGCGTGCACAGCCAACTAGTGCCGCGTCAGGATGAGGCAGTGAGCATTTCCATCTGCCGAGAAACTCACAATGAAGTTAGTTGTCTATGCCTGTCTTGTATAAGTAGTGGATATGAATATGAGTAAACATATTTATATTTAGACAATACCCAGACACAGTTCTAGACTGTTTGTCTGAAATACTAAAATTTCCTCTTTTTTTTTTTTGGTGGTACTAGGGCCTCATTCTTGCTACACAGTTGCTCTGGCGCTTGAGCTATGACCCATCCCTTTTTTGGTTTAGCTGTTTCTTGGACAGGGTCTTATATTTTTTGCCTGAGGCTAGCTTTCAACACTGGTCTTCCTACCTAAGCCTCTCTTAGAGCTGGGATTATAGGCGTGTACCGACACTCCCATCTTGTGTTTTGAAATGAAGTCTTTCTAATGTTTTGCCCAGGTAGGCCTTGAACCTTGACGCTCCCAATCTTCATCTCCTAGTTAGTTGGGATTACAGGCATGAGCCACTAGACCTGGTTCCTGCTTTCATTTCAGTGTACCAGTATCAGATAACTTATCTTAGAATCCATAGTGCAAGAGCTGATGGAGTAGCTCAAGTGGTAAAGCACCTGCCTAGCAAGCTGGAGGCCCTGAGTTCAAACATCAGTGCTGCCAAAAAAAAAAAAGAAGAGAAAAATATAAAAAGAATCCACAGTGCTCTCTCAGGACTGGGTCATAGTTACTTCTAAAATTTTTACCAAAGCTTTGCTTTTTGCATCTCTAGATTTTTAATGTGGTGTGTGCAAACTGGAGCCTCCCTGCCCATGTTCCGTTTTGCCATGTTGGGCACTGGCCAGCCCTGGTAACACTGGGCTCTGTCTTTACAGGTGGAAGATGCGCTCAGCTCTCCAGTAGTGGTGTTCAGGTTTTCCCAGGAGTTACCCAGCTCAGGTAGGTGATTCTCAAAAAGGGTTATTATTGTATCTGTGCTTAAAGTCTTTGAATTTGATACTATTTAAAGTTAAATAGTGCAAAATATTTTTATTGCTAAAATCTTCAGTTGTCATTTCAGAAAAACGTAACAGTTCACAAGAACTCCGGGCTGAAATGCCTTAGCATCCTGTTAGTGCTTGGCTGTGACTCACCCATGCTCCCACATGCTCAGTGCTGCTGTAAAGGATGAGTCACTTGAAAATGCAGATTGTTGGGCCCTACTTCCCAGATATTTTGAGTCAGCAGGTTAGACCTGGCGATCTTTATTTTCAAAGAATGTCCCAAGTCTCACCAACTTAGTCCACGGCACATTATTTTTCACCAAGCTGGTCATGGTCCCCTCTCTATACTGATGTCTGACTCCCCCACCGTCTAGAGAGCCCACTCAGACCATATGAGTGAGCACTGGTGGTAGAGGGCAGATCATCACACTTCACCGCCCAGAGCCTGTCAGTGTGTCACTGTCTCAGCTGAAAATGTCCCTGCTGATCCCGGCCCCAGGAGGCCACATGACTGCCCCAGCCTCCCCTCTGGCACCTCTTCCCTCTTGCTCACTGTACTTCCGTCAACCAGGTCTTCATGTTCCAAGCATGCTGCTCTTCCTGACTTTGCAGTGCCTGCTCCCTCTGCTTCAAACACATTTCATCTCGCTCTTTCCAAAGAGGGCTGGCTCCTCTCACTACTTAGAGAGTTCACATGTTTTTCTTTTGATGATACTGGGTTTGAACTCAGGGTCTCACGCAAGCTAGGCAGGTGCTCTACTACTTGAGCCACTCCGCTGGTCCTTCTCACTACTTAGGTCTGCAGTAAATGCCCACCTCCTCTCAGAGCCCTCCTGTCTGGAGTGACTCCATCATAGTGTCAGAGCCCTGTCGCCTTCCATAGCACCTGCATGACACATAGTGATCACCTTTCTTTACAGTCTGTTCCCTTATCTAGGATGGAAGCCTAAGATGGCAAAAGCCTGCCCTGTTTTGTATCTCCCAAGTGTCGCATGGCCCCTGGCATCGCTGGCATGACGAGTGAGGGATAATTTTTGTGAGGCCTAGTTTGGATGCTTGGCACTCGGGTTAACCACCATGCTTGGTGGCCTACTCATTCACCTACCTTGCTTTGATTTCTTCTTGAAATTCCTTGAAAGCCAATTTTTTTAATGAAATTAAGAATTCCATTTCCATGAATGTATTCAGGAGTTACATAGTTCATGAGAAAAAAGTGTGGTCACTAAACTGTTTGTCAAATCCACATTGGAGTCCAGTAACAAATGAGGCTGTTCCCTTGGGGTTCACAATGGGATCTGAGTGAAATGGGATTGGATTGTCTTTTAGCCTGTTTCTGGGAGTGAATCCCCTCTGTGTTTGGCCTCAGATACAGTATCCAAAGCTGTCCCAGCACCCAGTGTGGCACCGTCAGCCATTGGTCGGGAGAGACAGTCCTGTGACGCGCTGAACCGCTGGGTAAGGATGGCAGGCATCTGCTCTATCCTTCACATCTCACAGCAGTGTCCCCGAACCTCATCTCTGGGTAACAGTGGTCATGAGCAGAGTCAGACCCACAGGAGGGAGCCTCCTACAGAGACCCTGGGCTTGTTCCGGAATCCTGTTCAGAATCAGATCACCACCTCACATGCTGTCACCTCTGGCAAGTCCCCTCAGGTTCCTGAGATAGCCGTTTCCTTCCTGCTGTGAAAGGTTATGAACAGTAGGCAAAGTGTGGACTTGGTATCTTGGAGTTGGCTTGTCTGAGCAGCAGCAGTGAGGTCTGTGGCAGTCCGGCAGCTTTTTGAATGCTGCAATAGCTCCTCTAGCTTTTTAGCAGTGTCATCAAGGGCTGAGGTGAGTAAGTGGGGCTTCCTTCGCACAGTGCAATTCCCTGTGAACCTGCAGCTGAAGGATGAAGCTACGGGAAATGACCCGCACAAAGTAAAGGGGAAATGCAGGCTCCTAAGTGGCACGTCCAGTGTCATGTTTGCAATCACAGAGAGAGGACCTTGCAAAGTCTACCAAATGCCAGCAGTCAGGATTTCAGTGGTAGGGAATTTTTATTTTATGGTTTGACTTACCTGCATTCCATACATTTTTCTCCACTGAGCACTTCCCTAAGTATTCAAAGACAATTTGAAGAAGACAGGATGCTAGCTCCAGTGGCCGCTGTGGTCTGCGGCTGAATGGACGAGGGCAGGTCCACCTAGGTAGGACACTCTGAGGCCTGTGTTGCAGAAACGCATGCACTCTGTCTTTTTCCCTGCAGCTGGGAGAGCAGTTGAAACAGCTGGTGCCTGCCAGTGGCCTCACTGTCATGGATCTGGAAGTCGAGGGCATGTGTGTGCGGTTTAGCCCTTTGATGACAGCAGCAGGTAATGACTTCCATCTCTTTTTCTTGAAGAAACGGTTCCATGCCCATTGAAGACCAGGCTGCTGGGATGATTGAGTTTCCTATATGGTATTCTTTTCTGTAGTTTGCAGTCTCTTTTTGGAGGGGCTTTTTTTAAAATTTGGGCTAAATTTAGGTAAATTAGCATTCCAGTGGAAATGGATACTCTTAAATGCAGACTCACTTTAATACCTATATTTTGAGGTCCTATGACCTTGATTTTCCTATTCCATTGGTTCCCACCCCCAGTGACATATTTCAGTCACCTGTGGCTCATGCCTGTAATCCTAGCTACTTAGGAGGCAGAGATCAGGAGGATCACAGTTTGAAACCAGCCTGGGCATACAGTTCACAAGACTCTGTCTCTAAAATACCCACCTCAAAAAAGGGCAGGCAGAGTGACTGAAGTGGTAGAGCGCCTGCCCAGCAATCATGGGGCCCTGAGTTCAAGCCCCATACAAAAAAAAAAAAAACCTACCAGCAGTTGAGCCACCTAGACATTCTGATTCCCCAGACCCGGGGTGAGCCTGAACACTTGTATTCTTTAGTTGAGTGTGTGTGGGAATGTGAGGTACTGAGGCACGCTACACTTGAGCCACACCTGCGTTAATTTTTTTTTATTGTTCAATGTGATGCTTTGTCACACATAGTGAAAGATGAAGAAATGCATAAGGGAGGGTGCAGCGTGTCCTGCCCTTTCCAGGGTCCTCTAGGAATCTCCATGCACTCCTCTCTACAGAGGCTCTGGGCATCTGTACTTTTAAAAGATCCCCTGAGAATTCTAAGAGGCCAGAACCACTGTTTGACCCTGGCCCCTGAAGCCTGAGCCTCTAAAGCTGGAAAGCCAGCTGCAGACACCCTGAGGCGGTGGCATGAGGGGAAAAGGAATAGTAGCGCCAAGACTCCTGCACCCCTAAAGGGTGACCTTGCAGCAATGACCTGGCCATGGTGTGGTAACACCGGCTCCTTGCACTTCTGGCGTCCTAAACACAAACCCACCATAACACTGCCCTTCACTCAGTTTTTGTTATAAAGAGAGACGCTGTGGTTGCCTTTTCTTTTTTCTTTAAACCTGTTACAGGATGTTTATAACCTGACTGAAGCAGTGTTCCTGAAAACACCATTGTGTATTAAGTCTACAAAAGAAAAAGCCTCTTGCTGCTGTGTTAATTCTATCACCTGATTCTTCCACAGTCGGGTGGAATGTGGAGTGGCCTTTTTTTTTTTTCCTTTTAACTGCTCAGCTCCAACTAATTGGAATACTAAGAGTGGTTGACCTTGTGATGGTGAAAGGGGGGGCTTTGCCCTCTCCGCATTGACAGTTGCCTAAGCATTTCTTTCTCCGACATTCCGGGGTGTTCTCAGTGTTAGGAACTCGGGGAGAGGATGTGGATGAGCTTGTCACCTGCATCCAGAGCAAACTGCCAGTGCTGACCTGCACACTGCAGCTTCGAGAAGAGTTCAAGCAGGAAGTGGAGGGGACAGCAGGCCTCCTTTATGTGGATGACCCCAACTGGCCTGGAATCGGGGTTGTCAGGTAAAGGCACGGCTTGCCTCATCCAGTAACAGACTTGCTGCACATAGCATGTGTGGGGTTTCGTGATTCCAAGCTGATGATGGACAGCTGTGGTATGCCTGTCTCAGAAATTCAGCCAGTGTTGTGGGCACTTACAAAGGCCTGGTGCAGGCAGGTGATCTGACCCACCGCTGGGCTCAGTGAAGCTGGCATCACCTGAGCTTTGCCTGTGAGTGCCACCTTGTAAGTACCTGGGGGACATAACCCAGGTGTACATTGTAAGCACATGGTTACCAGCCATGGTGTGGAGATTGGTAAGGAAAAGCCCAGCCTCCAGGCTTGAGTTCAGCGTGTGTGGGCCTCTGTGGCTGCCCTCCTGTACTAGGCACCTCTCCTTTTTTGTTGTAAATATGGACCTCAGATCATGCACAATAGAACTTAGACTTACTTAGGATATCTTGAATATTTTCACACATGGGAACTGCCACCTTTCTCACATTTGTGTTCATCTCTACTAGCTTATATTCCACCCAGGATTCTGTGTCTAAAGAGGTATTTGATCTTAGAGTGAATTGCCGTTTGATACTCCTTTTAGATATGAACACGCTAATGATGATAAGAGCAGTTTGAAATCAGATCCAGAAGGGGAAAAAATCCACGCTGGACTCCTGAAAAAGCTAAATGAACTGGAATCTGACCTTACATTTAAAATGGGTAATTACTACTTTTCTAAATCACCTGTGACCTGTGGAAGGGGTTCCTAGTTGGCTTAAAGGAAGACGGTTCACCTCTCTGGAGGGGATGAGCTTTGGCTTAGGTCCCAGTGAAGATGTAGATCCTCCCAGACTGCGGTCTCTGTTCCTTCTGTTGCCTCCCAGGGCCTCCCCCTCTTCCTGTTGGAGGCGTCTTCTTGGCTTCATGAAGGCTTCTTTTGGCACTGCCTTGTGGTCTGGGTCTCACTCTGGACAGAGGACCTGTGTCTCTCCCACAGGCCCTGAGTACAAGAGTATGAAGAGCTGCATTTACATTGGCATGGCGAGTGATGACATAGACATCTCTGAGCTCGTGGAGACCATTGCAGTCACAGCCCGGGAAATTGAGGAAAACTCAAGGGTCTGTAAGACTAATCAGGGTTTCATGCCTTTTCTGGGTTTTGCCTGGCCAGCTACCTGGGGTTAACAAAGGAAGATGCTACCTCTTTTCCCAAATGTTTGTAAATGTTTCCTGTGACCTGGGCATGGTGCCACCCATTGCCCTCGGTGACCTCACCAGGCAGTGGGGGGAGTAGACAGAACAAGCAAGCGCTGTAGTAAGTGCTGTGGAATAGGAGTAGCAAAGCATTTCAGAGGACACACTCACCTCTCCTGCACACTTGGGCCACTTCCTGACAGGAGCTGGGTGCCGAGGATGGGGCTGCCCACCAGAAATGGGCCTGACCAGCCTACAAGGCTCAAGGACAAAAGCAGCTGTGTCTGAGAGAATACAGGTGCCCGGGTCACGTGACTGACTTTGGGACAGAGGTGGGAAGAGGACACTGGAAAAGAGGCTGAGGAGCCAGCCAGTCGTATTCACCGTGAGGTGGATTTCTTTAGGTTCTCTCTGCTTCTCCAACATTGCACAGTGTGTGTTTTTTCTGCTGAGACAGTGTTAGGTTTTAAGTAGCTTTTTCCCTCTGTGGCCTGGCAGATGAGGCTGGCACCAGGGTCTGCCCAGGCCTTCATGAGCGTCCTGTTTAACTTTTACTCTGGCCTTTAAATGGAGAGTCCATTTACTGACATACTTCTGAGAACATGTCCCCAGTGCTGCACTAGTAAGTCCTAGGCCGCAGGCAGTTAGTTTGGACAGCGCTTCCTTCCTTCCTTTCTTGGCCCACACAGCTTCTGGAGAACATGACAGAAGCGGTTCAGAAAGGAATTCAAGAAGCTCAGTCTCAGCTGCAGAAGGCCAATGAGGAGCGGCTCCTGGAGGAGGTGAGGCCGCTGGTCGGTCGGTCAGTCAATCAGTCCATCAGTCGGTGGACTGATTGCCCTTCCCAGCTGGCGCGGTGGGGGGGGGGGGTGTCTCAGCAGGAGGCTCTGAGCAAGGGTTCTGTTTTGCAGGGAGTGTTGCGGCAGATCCCTCTAGTAGGATCTGTGCTGAATTGGTTTTCTCCAGTCCAAACTTCACAAAAGGGAAGAACTTTTAACTTGACAGCAGGTAGGAATCAGTCTCTGTACAGATCTCACTTCCCTGAGAGTTCTCCCCAGATGCCCTTAGATCCAGCACCTCTGAGCCTTTACTGCTTCCATTCTGTGTCTGGCTCCTATGGTGGGACCCTGAGGAATTGAGGCTGTCCATCCTGCTTGCATCTCCTACCCTTCCTCCACCACCCCAGCTGAAGGTGTGACAGCAGCTCTGCATCCTGCAGCAGGTGGACTCTTGCTTGGATCGGTGAAGACGTGCCCATCAGCATCTCAAGGCGGTGTCCTGAGCCCTGGTGGCGAGGTTACTGTTCCTTGCAGACCTCGTGGGTGTCCTGCTCATGCTGAGAGGGCAAGTCCAGAGATTGTAGCCCTGCAACATTTGGTTTTGAACCAGGCAACTGACAGTATTATTACCAGTTGCTGGAACTTGGAGAAGAGATTAAAGCCCATATGTCCTTTACTGTTCTACCAAGGAAATAGTCCTGAAACTTGAGGTCTCCTCCTTTATTCCTTCCCCAGGAAATGATGACTACCTTGTCACATTGTCATTGTAGCAAAAGTTAACTGGAGTTTTGATCTGCCAAGCCTTAGCCCTTAGCAAAGAGGCTCCTGTTCCTTGTTCCCCAGTTGGGCCTGGGTCCCCAGCACACTTGTACACACTGCTGTCCGAGTGTCCTCAGGAGAGGAGAAGGGGGGGTCCACGTTCAACAGGGCTGGGACTGTTGAGCCAGCTGTGGGGCACTTTTTCTAGCTCCCAAATTTCAGGAATGCTAGGCTCTCCACCAGTCAGTCGGTGGAAAGCTGAACAGTGGCTAGCAGCTTATTAGGGCACGGGGCTGAGTGAGTACAGGTGGCATCTCCCAGAGCAGCTTGTGCCAGGAGCTTCTGCCTACTCCTTTTTTTTCCCTCCGGCAGGCTCTCTCGAGTCCACAGAACACACGTATGTCTATAAAGTACAAGGTACAGGAGTGACACCACCTCCAACCCCCTCAGGCTTTCACAGCAAACCAAGACTTCCAGGTAGGTTACCGCTCCACACTGCACTCATTAACATGGGAAACATGGCTGTGTTTCTCCTGGGAAAACGGGCCTTTGCATCATAGTTTGCGTTCCTTTGTTTTCTTGGTCCTTTAAACCAAAGTTTAAGGACCAATTATCACCGTCCTTGTAAGCAGCCATTCAGCCATCTTGAGATGCAGGCCTGAAATGACTTGTGGCTCTCTGGTGTCTGGAGAGATGGATTATTTTAACTGACATTTACTCTCCTCAGTGTAACTGTCCTTGGTAAAATGACCACAGACACTCCTGGGCTGGGGAGCACGTGTCACAGTAGCAGTTCCCCTCTTGTCTCCCACAGTGCTTCAGAGCCAGGCATTCTGGGATTTCTACCCAAGCAGTTACTGTACAGTAAAGTGATGGCTGGTTGCACAGAGCCACTGTTGCAGGGCATCCTCACCAGCTCTCACACTGTTTGTTCCATCTTTCTCTAGGCCAGAAGCCTTTTAAAAGGTCCCTGAGAGGGTCAGATGCCATGAGTGAGACTAGCTCAGTCAGCCACATTGAAGACCTGGAAAAGGTGGAGCACCTGTCTATTGGGCCGGAGCAAAGCAGCCCAGAGGCCCCCAGCCCTGAGCAGCCCCCTGGGGATCCCTGTGCTCAAGTGAGCCAGACTGAGGTCCTCCAGAACAAGACCCAGCACCCTGCAGATGACCATCCACAGGTAGAAGAGCCGGAGAGCTTAAGATAAAGTTCAGTGTTGGCTCTGGACTGTACTGACTGTCGTTTCAGGAAAGATGAAGTTATATTGAAAATGTGACCTGTGCCACATGCTAATGTAATACAAGTTACACTATTTGTGCTGGCTGGGATTTTTGCACAAATATATGCCTGAAAGCCAGGCTTTCTAGAAGGGCAATTGATTATTTTATGTGTAAGTAAATCAATCAACAGCTTAACTGTTTCTGGCCTGCCCAGCTGTAGGAACAGCACTTCCCTGTAACTTCCCATAAACACTGTCTATTCACAGAACACTTAGAATTTCGAGTGCCTGCCACTTGAAACACTTGCATCTTTCTAAACATAAGCGTCAGTGATTAGGTTGCACGCATGTAGTGACTTTTTGTCAGGACTCTCTGGGTTCCCTGCTATGCTTCTACAGGGGCCAGACGACAGAGCCCCTCTGTCTGTCTTCGTGGGTCTGTAGTCTGGAGTTGTGGGAGACACTGGCATTGGTTGGCTTCAAGGAACAATTTCAGGGGGACTGTAAGAAGAGTGTTAAAGCCCTCTCCTACCGTCCCCACCTGCTGCTTTCCTGGAGACTAAGTAAGGACTGTGTCCACTTGAGCTGTGGCAGGGCTTCTGAGACTGTCCTCTGCCACAAATCTTTCTCCCTTTATATACTCTTTGTAAACAAACTTTAAGGACTCATCTGTTAACTATAAAGTCTCTTCTGACCATATATATGTATATTTTTAAATATTGGCAAAGCTTTTAAATTGGCACCTGGTGCACACTGCCCGCTTCTAATTAATACCTGGAAGCCCAGCAGAGGCTGCCCTAAAGCCAACCCTGACACTAACGCTGTGCAGCACTTCTCGGTCAAGGCGTGAGTACCTGGCTCACAGTGGAGTGGCCACAGCTTCTCTTCCATTCAGAGCTCACCCTGGGTGCTGTCAGGAGGAGCCAGAAGAGTTGCCCCTCCCAGGCTGGTCAAGCCAGAGCACTGCTGACATTACTAGAAGGAAGCTCCTAATCCCTGTCGTTTCTACTTCCCCAAAGTACTGCATCACTTCCTGTATTCTAAGATGGGCCCACATGCCTTTTTAGTCCCAAAGTCAAGCAATGGGCCACTAAGATGATGGTGGGGAACTCACACTGGGTTTGTGGACTGTAGTGTTGGAAGCCTTAGTTATACCACATTAAGCCTATAATTACACGGATTTGATGTGATTTTTGACATTTGCCACTTGTCAAAATGCAGTTTTTTCTTTACTTTTTTTTTTTTTGGTGCGGATGACTATAGTCTTCCCTGTTTATTTGGTGCAATGAAGTCTAGCAGATAACATGGGGGAGGGGTAAATTATCACCTTTAACAAGATTAATTTTTAAATGTTTTTATATATTTGGAATTGTTAAATTGGTTTTGCTGAAACAGAATTTCACCCTTGAGATACTATTTGAATGTTGGTTTCAATAAAGGTTCTTGAAATTGTTACCAGTGAACTCAGTTTATAAATCTTAATCAGGCATGATGACTTCTTTTGAAATATAAAAGATTTCTAAAAAATATAACTAACTTGCATTAAAAACCACAATTTGGGCATTTTAATGACCTTACACCTAAAAGCACAGCTTTATCAGCTTTGTATAATTCTCAAAGGTTAAATTTGGTCTTTATACTAGAGAATGATGAGTTCAAACCCTGCTTTTCTTTCTGACCTTTCATCTCATTTACCCAAAAAAAAAGCAGTTTTGAATGTGAAGCTTCTAAAATACTTTTGGGCCACAACTCTGAGATGTATAAGTTCTCACAGTTTTTACTTTGTTCATTAACATAGCAGATTTAGGAATACTTACCCACCAGTGAGACAAGTGGATTTTCCTCTGCCCCTTATTACCGACCAAACAGAAAAGCCTGGACATCAACTTTTTAAGGTAAAGCAAAAAGATCAAACAAATGCCTTTGCCAAAATAAGATTTTATTTTGAAAGTCATTTGAAAGATGCTGAGTAAGGAAGGAGACCTAGACTCAACTGATGTAGATACCAAATCCTATCCATGGTCTCTGCCATGCCGAAAAGTGCCCTCTTTGGTAATTCCTACTTTTAGCTTTCTGGAAAAGAGGTCTTTTCCCATAAGCCAGCTTGAGTTTTTTTGTAGAGGAGAGCTTTATTTCCAGGAAACAGTGTGCTCATTGGAGATGGGTACTTCTTTAAAAACATCAAGGTAGAACGAATATGTTCAACAAAGTGGGGGGGCTCGGCCAAAGGTGAAGTGGACAGGTTCTGAAAAAACAAAGATTGTTGGTGGGCATGAGAGAGAAGTAGAAGTAGCCTGACTCTGTTCCCTACTCTGATGTCAAGTAGCCTTGTGTTCTTTAATAACGACACTCTGAGCGCAGCATCTACCTCACTGTACCTCACGAAGTACCTGCAGTTGACTGCTTCACTTGTACCAACCTCAGGATGTTACTTATGTCCAATTGGTGTAGCAGGTAAATGGAGTCTGCCAGTGGTTTCCAAAAGGTAAGTCCTGCCCACTGAGGGAAAAGCAGTTATCTGGCCTGAACCCTTTTTTTTCTTACAGATGAGGAAACCAGGGTCCAGAGACTTAAGATTTACCCAACCTGTAAATTCTTACCTCTAGTATTTCCTTGTCATCTTGCTGCAACCAGAAATCCACATGTGGAAATGGCATCCAGGAATACGGGCCTATTCGAAGTTGCTCTGTCTCTGCATCATAAATGCTAATCATCTGAAGGAAACATTTCAAGGATAGGATTAAGGAATGCCACCGCCTCTCAAATCCTCCCGTTCCCGAAAGCTGCAGTGTAGTCCAGTCCAGAGGCATTCATTCACCTAGAACAGCTGCTTAAACAAACACTTCTCTCCCACAAGAACAAAGCTGCCCCCTACAGAATACTTTCCGTGTCTGGTCCTGCACTTTGTGATAATAATGCGTGTCGCTGTGCTTGGTTGTGAAGGTGCACGCTTCCCTTTCTGGGTGAAAACTTTGAACATCAGAGTCCCCTCATGTGCCAGTGGAGTATGAGGCAGACCTATTCTGGTCTGCTGTTCCCCAATGGCTGCAATGAACCATTTACCCACCCTTGTTACTCATTAACCCATGTGTGTTTTTTTGTTGTCACCGGTCCTTGCGGCCTGTGCATTAGTTTGTTTCCACGTTGGAGTTCTTTTTCGGTGGGTCACAGGCATTTTGAAGTTTATAGTTGCCATAGGTGACAGCTTGTTGGGTTATGACGTCACAAGGTAATGGTTCATGCACCATGGGGAACACAGACCAGATTAGGCCTCGCCCTGATCCCCGGGCACATGGAGATTGTGTCTCAATTTTCACCCGAAAGGGAAGCGTGCACCTTCACAACAAGCCAGCGACAGATATATAAAGTGCAGACACAGAAATATTCTGTAGGGGGCAGCTTGGTCTTTGGGAGGAGAGTGTTTGTTTAAGCACTGTCTAGGTGAATGAATGCCTCTGGATGGACTACACTGCAGCTTTCGGGAACGGGAGGATTTGAGAGGCGTGGCCATCCTAATCCTATCCTTGAATGTCCTTCAGATTATTAGCTATTATGATCAGAGACAGAGCAACTTCGAATAGGCCGTATTCCCTGGATGCCATTTCCCACATGTGATTTCTGTTGATTTTGAGCAGCTGTCACCTTGCAACTTAAACTCAAAATGCCTGATGACCCACCGAAAGAAAGGAAACTCCAACTTGGGAAAAGCTAACTTGCCAAATGCTACATTCCCTCAATTCCCAGTTTTGGTTACTGAGACTAAACATTAACTGAGGGACAGCGAGAGGATTCCTGAAAATGTTCAAAGGTCAGCAAAACAAATCACTGACTACACACATTTTCCTATGAAAATATCAGTTCACAAAAGAGCAGGTTTCTGGGTTTAAATTAGAGCATTTAGAAATTCTCCCACCCATTCCTCAAATGGGGCCTGGGAGTCTTGTTTTTCTAACTTTATTTTTGTGGTGATAGGAACTGACCCATGGCCTATCTCACCTATCTCAGGCAAGCACTCTACCACTGAGCCATATCCACAGCCCCTATTTTTCTAACTTTTAAAATTAAAATATTTAAATAAAAAGCACCGCCAGGCAGGGAGTGTAGCTCGTTTGCATGCACAAGGCACTGGAGGAGAGGGAAAAGCATCTTAAGGAAAGGAAGCTTAAGTCGCTCCAGCAAGTGCTCTTCAGTGATCTGGTCCATTCACGAGAAAGCCTAGCACTGAGCGTGGACAGATAAGCCTCCTTTCTCCCCACTGCTCCCCTCCCTTTCTGGATCCAGACACTGTGTGTTCACTCTTACGTTGCCTGTACATCTCAGGCAGAGAACTGGGGTCTTGCACTTAGAACCTAAACTCACTCCTTACTCCTGAACAGCCAGCAAGCCTGTGGGCCCTGGTCATTTACAGCTTTCAGGAGGCAGCCATAAGCTTCTCTAGGTTCCATTAAACTCGAGGCTCTAGTGTTTCTTCCTCCTTCCCTCTTTACTGAAGATTTGCACTCACCGGGCCTCCCGCTAAAGCCCTGGCGGCCCGAAGCAGCTCCTCTGGGCCTCGGTCTTGAAAGGAGGCTCTATAAATCTCCGCAGTCTTAATGTTGACAGCTGCAAGGGACAACAGAGTGACTGAACTGACAAAGGCCCAAAGGAGGGAGGTTACATTCCTACGACCATGCATACATGAGAAAAGAATGGGAACTGAACAAAACGAGGTGTCTATAGCTTCCCACTGGAAACTGACAACAGCTGAGCGCAAGTATGATCTGTCCCAAATCCAGAGCTGCTCTGTGTGAGCACACGGTCCCTGCAGCAGGCACTGTGGTAGGGCCTCCCTGGTCAGCCCCATGACCAAATGCACTGGTGTCCTGCTGGGGGAAGAAGGGTGGCCTTGTAATGGTGGCAATAGCTGGTGTTTTCGTTTGCTTGAATTTTCATATTATTATTTTAGATGTATACAAAATTACAGAATAAAATAATGAGCACCTGTGTACTCACCACCCAGCTAAGTAAAACATTAAAGACACAGAAGCCTTTCATAAATATGCCAGTTTCGTGCTCCTGCCTCAGGATCCCCAGGCTGTCAGTCACAGAAGGGAAGAGGGTTTTGGATTTTCCTTTAACCTGCTAAGATTTATACCTTCTTCTGTTGGATTTTTGTTCTCAGTTAAAACCTCACTCCATTCCCAAAGTACATAAATACCCAAATGCTCAGCTGCCATCCCCCAGTGCCCAGTTACATAGGCCACACTGTACACTGGCCCTCAGGCTGGGGCATTCTTGAAGCTTCATGAATGGTGAGATTAGTGAAGTCAAGCAGACTCGCCCACGTTCTCACAGTAAACGCAAGTGCTGGGCTTTGAACTCGAGGCCGTCATATACTAGCAGCAGTGCCCGAAGACTAACCCGCCTGCCCAGTCCATGCATCACCAACTCCAACCCTCCAATAACCACACTACTTACCAATGCCAGAGATTACTGGAAAGTGGTTTTCATTTTCTTCTCTGTCATTTAATTCTAAGGAATAAAAACAATTGTTAAGAGGCACTGAGCAGTTCTATTTTGAACAGTAAGCCAGCCCTCACTACAAAAGGGGAGAAACTGGAAGTGAAGGGGGCTGCTGCCTTCTTTCCCTGCAGAATCCTAGGCGGCAGGTGGTTAATGAACCAGGGCCACTGGCAACCACTGCCTCGCAGCCTCCTCCACGCACCACCACACCTGACAGGCAAGAGCAGCTCCTCTCTGCGGCCAGCTCCCTCCCCTTCCGGGAGGACAAGCCTCTGATGAGCCTAAGGAAGGAGATGTGTGGCATGCTAAGGGGGAGAGGGAAGGAGTTAAACTTGGACAAGGAGAAGAGGCCATTCCAGTGGTGGGAAGAATGGGAACAGAGCAAAGTGGTAACAAGCTGTTGCGTGTCTTCTATGACCCAAGTCCTGATGCCAGGCCCTACAGGAAGGATGCAGACAAAGCCTGACTGGACTGAGCTTTGTTTGGGGAAATGGCACAAGTGGCTTACCTGTCACACATAATGTCACTAAGTGAATGTCATCTTCCTGTCTGTCAAACTCACCTGCAATTAAATTTTAAAACTGACATCAAAACAATTTCTTGGATTAGCAGAACACAGAGCTGGTCAAGAGGTCAAGGGTCAGAAGCCTGTCAAGCACTCTCCCTTGCCCTTTCGGCCACCACCTGGCCTCTAAGACAGCTCAGAGGAGTTGAGATCGAGCCTTCCCATCATTCTCTTCTCAGGCTGGGGGATGCCGAGATTCATAGGTGGCTGGGAGGCACCAACTCTTCCAAGCTACCTGTCTTCCAATTGTCAGTCTATCATTACAAGAAAAGTTGGAAACCCAGGAGAGTGCTGTAACCTGGCACTCTCTTATTTCCCTACATAGCTGAGCTCATACTGTGGAGACAATGTACCTGCTCAGACTGTACAATTTTCTATCCTGATTTTTTTGTACATATGTATTTACCCCTGTAATTCAACCCTCTTCAGAAGTAGTTGTTTTGTGGGTTTTTTTTTTTTTTTTGCAGTACTAGGGGCCTTCACCTTGAGCCACTCCACCAGCCCTATTTTTGTGAAGTGTTTTTCAATACAGGGTCTCATGAACTATTTACCCAGGCTGGCTTCGAACAGTGATCCTCCTGTTCTCTGCCTCCTGAATAGCTAAGATTACAGGCGTGAGCCACCAGCGCCCGGCTTGTGGTTTGATTGTTTTTGGAACTTGATCATTCTCTGTAGGTCTTGCTGTGTAACCCAGGCTGGCCTTGAACTCTCAATCCTCCCACTTGTGCTTCTCAAGTGCTAAGTAACAGGTGTGCCACCACACCTGGCTCATAAGCATCTTTTCAGTGGCTACATCCTACTCCACAGATGTTCTGTCGTTCATCTTTGAACATAAATCTCCGTGCACATTTTAGATAACTTTCTTACAGACCATTCCTAGAAGGGGGTTACTGGGTCAAAGGCTATGAACCCTTAAAGACACTGCCAAACCGCTTTCCTGATGGGTTTCCCTGTGGCACTGTGTGTGCCTACATCACTGCCTGCTGGGAAATTAATACAAAAAAGTATCTTTTTTCTTTTTATCTTTTTTTCTTCTGATTTAGTAGGTATCACCACTGTTTCCACTTTCTGCAGGTTAAAATGGACATTCCAACCAGGAGGGGGGTTCTGTTCTTTACATGATTCAGAGTGCTTACTATTCTACAATGTCACTTGCTGTTTTGTCTTTTTTTTTTTCCTGCACTGAGGTTTGAACTCAGGGCCTCATGCCTGCTAGGTAGATGCTCTACCACTTGAGCCACTCTGCCAGCCCCTCAATTGCTATTTCAAGAGGAAATCTTGTCCCCGTTCCATTAGCTCCCAAGAATGTAGCTCAATGCTGCCACCCTAGCCAAGCGACCTCTTCCAAGTGGTCCCTCTTAAGGCTTTCTACTAGAAAGATTTTTAACCTGAGCAAAAATAGGTATCAACTTTTATCAAATTTGGAGAAGAAAAAAAGTGAACTTACTGAGGAGTTGATGGGTAAGTTTTTGTGACAACTGCCTTTCATCACTGAACCCTCCCACAAGGTGCACTTCCAGCCTGGCAAAGAGAAGGACAGTGGTGAGATCAGCACAGCATAGGACACTGTGTTTTAGCAGTTCCGGACCCTTTCCACGCATGACAAATGAAGAAAGTGCCTGGGGGGGGGCACATGGTGCCCAGATAACTGAAGGGATCTGGACACAAAGGTAACATGGCTTTCATGCACAAATGAGTAGCTCGGCTCTAGAAGATGACTATGTCACGCCATCTGCCCACCCAAAGTGGGCCACTTCCAAATCCTTCATGCCTCCACCTAGGGGGAACTGAGCTGTGAGCCTGGGGTGGGGGAGTGCCCAGTGATTGACAGCCCACGGGTGAGCAGATACCTGGCAGGGTGCCTCTGATGTTCACCTCATCTTGGCAAGAGGACGCTCATCTTCTGTTTCTTTTTTGGTGGGACTGGAGTATGAACTGAGGGCTTTGCACTTGTAAAGGTCACCTGGGTCTCTAAAGGACACGCATGGGAACTGTGACCCCAGATTTTCCCTAGGTGTGCCCCTGAGCCCATGAGCTAGGGAAAGTGTCTGTTTGGGAAGCATTGCCTCACGTGCACATGCAGGACCCTGACAAGCCCCACAACTGAAAATGGTAATTATGGGTTTTGTTTTGTTTTGGTTTTTTGGCAGCTCTGGGGTTTGAACTCAGCCTCACACTTGCTAAGCTGGCACTCTGCTACATGAGCCACTCCACCAGCCCTGATAATTGCGTTTAATTCTGTGTTTCCACATTTGCCTTCCCACAACCCCCCAACAATCTGGGACCAGGTGCTGGGGAGTGAATGCTGCTGTATTTTACACTGTCTGCTCCTGAGAAGAAAACCTCTCCAAGGGACCAACCAGAGCCTATGTGTGCCCTGCCCGGGGCGCAGAATCCAGTGACTTGTCAGAAACACTAGGTGGTGAGAAGGGCCACTGGTCCTTTGCTGCCACTGGTCAGCAGGTCTGTCTTCTGATTTCCATGGTGACCAAATTAGTTCTCTGAGGAGGCTAGTTGTGTTCCGAGAATCATGGAGCCAGGCCTGGCTAGAAACTCTTCAGGGCTCAGTGCAAAACAAAAGTGCTGTTTTGCAACTACACGAGTCACATACCCATGAAGCCAACTAAGCCTGTAGCAGGGCCCCAGCCGGAAGGAGATTTAAACTTTAAAGCTGGAGGCTCACGAGTAGAGCAAGCACTTAACATGTGCAGGCTCAGCTTCAATCTTTATCACCAAAATAATTTTAATCAATGTGTTGCACTGATGAGGTAACTAAGAGCTTCCCTGGGATTCTGAGCACTTGTAGACGCTGGCCCAGTTCTACCAAGAAAATTAAACAAGTCTAGTAATGCAGGAAGGAGGGGAACAGGTGTGTGAGCATTGATGGGGACAGTCAGACCTGGGATGCACTAGCTAGCTATGTGACCCCAGGACTCCGACTGTGCCTTGTCAAATGCAGGGAGAAATGAGACTGGTTGGGGATGGGGTGGGGAAGCCAGGCTGGGGTCAGCTTTACCCTGTGACCCCTTTTGAACCACGGACGTGTGCAGTGTTAGACTGCACACCTTGTCTAGCCATCCCCTGCTGCTCCCTGCCTTGCTGTCCTTCACAATTCTCTCCGCCAGTGCTTCAGAGTGTGCACCATGCGCCCTCCAGCCAGAGGCACCAGGCCCTGACAACAAGCTGCCCACAGGAAGCATTTCTGTAGGAAGTGCTGAAGGAGCAGCTGGTAGAGGCCCCTCCACCTGGGGTACAGCATAGCAACATCTGATGCTTAGGTGAAAACCTAAACCAAGGCATGCCAATGGGAGAGAGCTTGTCCAGCATATGCAAAAGACCTGGGCTCCAACCCCAGCACTGCAAAAAAAAAACAAAAAAAAAACCCCAGGCACCAGTGGATCACGCCTGTAATACTAGCTACTCAGGAGACAAATATCAGATGGATCATGGTCCAGAGTCAGCCTGGAAAAACAGTTCGTGAGACCTTATCTGGAAAATACCCAATACAAAAAAGGACTGGTGGAGAGGCTCAAGTGATAGAGCATTTGCTTAGCAAGAGCAAAGCCCTGAGTTTAAATCTTAGTACTGCCAAAAATTTGTTTTAAATCCCGGGACCAGCCCTTCACCGGTGCCCCCATCCATTTGTTGACTGGGCATGGGCTCAGGCAGAGCCACCTCCACAAGCTCTTCTCCAAGTTGTTAATCCCTTCTCTGGACTGTTAACAAGTGTGGGGTTAGTCCCCTACGTTGCTGTAACTGAACCCACAAGGTCCTCTACTTGTCCCAAAGAACATAGCAGAGCAGTGTGGCACTCACCTTCCACCGTGAACATCATTGGAAAAGGATTTTATGGAGTTCATGATCAAGGACACTTCAGCTTTGGTGTCAGTTCCGTCACAATGTGTCAGGCAGGTCGCCCCATTACCTAAAGAACAAGGGTGAAAGGACTCAGGTTATTCCTGATGACAACTTGGGAAGCAAGCCAAGGTCACTCCTGTCCATTCAGCCTGCCTCGTCTTTGGATATCCTGCAAGAAAACAGAAAAGGCCGTGCTGCCCAGCCAACCCATTCTGACCAGGGCATGGGGGAGACACCATGCAGACTAGAACGACGGTGGGCCGAGTCCGGCTTCAAATCAGACACCAGGAGACTCCGAGTGAGAGAGTAAATGGTCCCGCACGGCTGGGTGGGTTGAAGTAATGGTTTCCTTCACCTCTCATCATACCTGTGTGCCTCAGGACCACAATGTGACAAGTGGTGGCATCATCAGAACCCAGAATGGAGATGGAGCCTGTTTGAAAAAGAAACAAAATAAAATATCCAGTAGCCTTTTGGGATAGTGCCCAGTTCACTGCTTCCTAACCTACCATCCTTTGGGGAGGTCACTGCAAGCTCTCTCTGCTGAACATACAGAAGGCCCTGGGGTCCCACTGGCTGAACAGACTGACCTCTGAGAAGTCTGGCTCTTTCCTGTTTAATTAAAACAAAATAAAATAGTGATGCAAATTAGTGAGGATGAATAGCTAGAGCACTGGAGAGAGCCAAAGTGAACCCTAGGTGGGAACACCCAGGAGCTGGGAGGTGTGAGATGTGAGGCTGAAGGGCAAGGCGGCAGGAAGTTACGTGGACTATGACAAGCTTAGTTCTTCCCTAGAGAGCAAGATGTTGCTACCTACAAGATAAAGTGTGTCTCTGAGCTTTACAAGACTGTGAGACTCCTGACTATTTCACAAGAGGGAAGAGAATCAGACTTCCGGGCAGCTGTGTGGGTGGTTCCTTTCTTCACTTCCTCTAAGAGAGGGGTGAAGGACTTCCCTCTCCACTAATCTAGCACTCTCACTTCCACAAATCTCAACTGAGGAAACAGCTCAAAGCGGGCCATCGCTGTGTTTTCAGAATGGCAAAAAGCTGGAAGCAAAAATGTAGCCCAAGTAAATGACACAGAACCAACGCCACCGCTATAATGAGGGTTATGAGAGAACTCACTCTGAAATGTCCTGGAAGGCAAAGCATGAGAGTGTAATTTTCCACAGAGCTATAAATACACTAGCAATACAACAACGTTGAAACGTACACCAGAAAAAATACGAGATTCACTGACAACCATGGTAGGGATGGAGCAGCCTGTGGTTGTCTAAGTGATCTAGATGTCATTGTTAAAGGGGAAACACAACCAGGATACATGGATGCTGGAAGGACATGGTCATATTAGGTGTCAAAGATCTGTCAAACTGAGTATTTGAGTTTTGTTTTTTGCAGTACTGCAGTATGAACTCAGGACCTTGTACCACTTGAGCCACTGAGCATCCAGCCCTGAGTATTTGTACGAATTCTTATGCAGTAAGCCTGTCAAAGAGAGAGGGGTGGGAGAATATGCCTGAAAATCCAGCACTTGGAAGGCAGAGGCCAGAGGATCACGACTCCAAAATCAGCCTAGGCAACACAGTAAGCCCATCCCAAAAAAAAGAAAAAGAGACACCTTAGGAGCTGCAAGTATAGCTCAGTGGTAGAGTACTTGCCTAGCATCCACAAAGTCCTGGGTTCAATCCCCAGCACCACCAGAAAAGAACTTGTGTTTAATTTTTTCTTTTCTTGCAGTGCTGGAGTTTTTACTCAGGGCTTCATGAGCTTGAGCCATGCCTCCAGCCCTTTAAATTCTTTAAGGAAAGCCAAAACAAACATTTGTTTCAAAAATGCAAAAATGTTTGCAAGGGCAAAGTCCCCAGTTCAAATCCCAGTCCCTTAAAAAAAATGCAAAACTGATACAACACTAAAATGTACCACAATTTCCTTCTGACTTAAAATAAATCAACTTCCCAATGAACAACTTATCCAGTGTGCAAGTCTAGAGCAGGCCTGTGTTCCCCACGTGGGAGATCAGACCAGTGGTGCACAGGCTTCTCACTAGTCCATGCCAATTCAGGTTTGTGTCTAATGACTTACTAGAATATGAGAGATGTGATAAGCTGAATGGTCAGCTTGATTAGTCACTATTTTATGAATTTTCCTTTAATGAATTTCCATTGATTAGAAGCAAAGTAGTAATTACAAGGGGACCAAACCCCTCAATTTAAGAAATGAACTGAGGCCTTGGGTCCCCAGCACTGCCAAAGGGAGGGAGAGGGGAAGAAATGAGCTCAGAATTTAGCAAAGCAGTGGAAAGTCAGCTGGGCAGTCCGTGAGATATAAACTGGGAACAGCTCCGATTAGTGAACACTTCAACTCTCACCCACTTCTCATCCTGAGTAAACTCACAGTCACACGCAGGTTTCAGAGTTCCCTTCCTACTCACTTTTACTATGTCTTTGAGGAAGGGGAGGGAGAGAGCGAAGGAGTTAGACAAATTTTACCACTCATTTTCATAAAGACCCAAAAATCAAAATCATTTCTCCCTTCAACAAAGCTCTACTATTTCCCAAGTAAAACCAAGATGATCAGAAGGAAAACAGTAGGCTGCTTTGGTCTCCTAGAGACCAAAGGGGTGGGTGGGGGGTAGGGGTGCGGGTGGCAGCAGAGTGGCTCAAGTGGAAGAGCGCCTGACAAGCAAGTGTGAGATCCTGAGTTCAAGCCCCAGTACTCCCAAAAAAGAAGAAAAAGAAAAAAGGGGCTGGTGGTAGAGCACTTGCTGAACGTATGCAAGGCCTGGGTTCCATCCCCAGCAGCATGGAAGGCAAAAAGTGAAAAATGTTTAGCCAAGCTTATCCTTGCTGAGAAAACACACAGGCCAACTTCATCACATATTTTTCTGTTTAGATTCTTTTGAGACAGTGTCTTGCCATGTAGCCCAGGCTGGCCTTGAACTCTTGATCCTCCTGCCTCAGTTTCCTCATTGCTAGAATGACAGATGTGCCCCCTGACACTGGCTTCATCATATTCTTTCTAAAGTGAAACACACCTGTAATGCCAGCTACTCAGGAAGTGCAGATCAGGATGGTCATAACTTGAGCCTAGACAGCGAAAAGTTATCAAGACCCCATCTCAACTAACAAGCTAAACATGACAGTACACCTGAACTCCCAGTATGCAGGAGGCAGAAGTAGGAGGATCCTAGTCTAGCTCTGGCCCCAGCAAAAAGTGTGGGACCCTATTTGAAAAGTGACTAAAGCAAAAGGACTGAGGTGAGGTTCAAGTGGTACAGCACTTGCCTAGCAAGCACAAGGTCCTGAGTTCAAACTCCAGTACCGCAAAAGAAAAAAAAAAAAAACCAAATGGATGTGACTACTCCAATAAAACTTTACTTACAAGTGACACCAAAAAATTTGCATTTCATGTAATTTCATGCTGTAGAATATTATTCTTTTGATTTTTTTAACCATTTAAAATACAAAACCTCTTCTTGGCTCATGGGCTGTACCCCAACAGTGTTGGGAGTGAGCTGTGGTTTGCAGACCCGTGTCTAACCGGTCACTAAGCTGTAACCTCGGGACAATCCTATATCAGTCAGTCTGCTCCTCGACTCCTCCTCCAGAAATGGTGCACGACTGAGAGCTGGCTTCATCAGTGAGAAATCATGCCATGACACGTCGCTCCGGGCACTGAGCCTTGCTTCCTGTCAAATTCCTACCTTACTGCTCGGCTCAGCTGGGCTCAGTGGTGCTGCACCTGCCTCTCGATTGCCAGGCCCAGCTTCCACCCCAGCCCTGCGGTGACCCATCCAGAGACAGCCTGGTCCCCATGCCTGTGCTTCCCTTCCCCTCTGCTCAGGGGTGCGAGGCTGTCCACCCTGCTAGGCTGCTGGGGTCAGCTGAGGTACGGGTGTCGTTCCCTAGTTCTGCCCCCCGATTCTGAGGTCCCTTGTCCTGTCTGTCCCCCATGGACTGCCAGCCTCGCTGCTACAAACGCTGGTTTTGTTTCATCACCTTCTGCTGAACAACCCAAGTCCATTTCTAATGGCTGAGCCCTTGCAATGTCTCCTCGGGTGAACACAACAGCGTCTTGCACAATTAAAGCTGCAAATGGGACTGGGGGCGTGGCCCTGGGTTCCCTCCCCAGCAGGCCAAAACCAATGGGTAAATAAGTAACAACAGAAGCCAACTCATGGCCACTGACGTTGTGGACTTCTGTGCAAACATCCACAGTGACGCTTCAGGACAGTCGCTGGGCTGCAAGAGACGAGGGTAGCCTGCACCCAGGCCTTTCTGTGGGAGGCCAACAGCATGCCAGGGCTGCCCCACGGAGGAGCCACGTGTGGCTGCAGAGCACTTGGTATGTGACCGGTGTGACTGAGGAACTGGTGTGGCTATTACTTAATTTTAATTTTCACGTAAATAGCTAGGGCTTACTGAATGGCACAGCACCAGAGTCCAAGGTGACTGCTGGGTTCCGGGCCTGGCTTCCCCACTCCTGATACGGCGCCCTGGACAAGTCACTCTACCTCTCTGATCTCCCCAGGCTCTGTGGATGAAGACAGGGCTGTGCTTCCTCCATAGGTGGTACTGGCCAGTTCCATTGTGCCCAGGACGGTGGTCCCATGTCCCCCTGCCCACCCGGGGTCCCTTCCAAAACCCCAGCACCTGCCTGAAAGCACACACTGACCAAACCCTACACGCTCTGTTTTTTCCTAAACAGACATACCTATGACAATTCATAAATTCATGAAGTTTAATTCATAAATTAGGCACAGTAAGGGATTAACAATGGTAACGACCCAACAGAACAATGCCAACAATATGCCGTGATAAAGGTTACTTAAAACTTAGGCGTTGTTAAAGTCCTGGAATACCGCATCTAGTATTTCAGACTATGGTTGACCCCAGGTAAGAGAAACTGCAGAAAGTGAAACAGTGACCAGGAGAAGGCGACTGTGCTTTCCAGGCTCGTCACTACTGCTACTGCAGACTCACATCATGCTGTCATGTGAAGAGAAATGTCAAGAAACAACAGACAGTATGCTACCATTTTCAAAAGTCTGTGACACACGACACCAAGAAAAACTCGTTAGGTCATGTACCTAACGAGCAATGCTTGTGACCACAATGCTGCTTTTTCTTCTTAGTATTTATATTTTCTTTCCTTTTTCTTTTTGGTTTTTTGAGACAGCGTCTTGCTATGTTGCCCAGGCTGGCCTCAAACTTGTGATCCTCCTGCCTCAGGCTCCTCAGTACTGAGATTACAGGTGTGTCCCACCATACCCAGCTCTTTTTAGTGTTTACCTTGTCATTTCCCCATGAAGAGCACAAACTGCTTGTCACAGAATAATTAAAGCTTTCATTTCTCTCCAGGGATTCCCTCTTAACCCTGTGAGCTAGGTACCACATTCCTCGCCAGGCTGACTTCCTCTGCTCTGCTTCTCACCCCTCCTGGGCCAGGAAGACCAGCAGCTACCCCCCCATCAGATCGTTGGTCTGCTGCAGCCCACCCTGGACCTCTCCCTGCCCCATGTTCCTGTAACACAGAATTGGTCCCGCTCTGCAGCCTTTCAAGACCACATCTCCCTACATAGGCCAAAACCTTCCTTGGAGAGGTGCCGCCAGCATGTCCCCACATCCCGACTCCACACTTGTGCTCCGTGGCCACTGATCTAACTTCCTGCCATCGAAATTTTCAAACAGACAAAAGTAGAAACTGAAACTTTTTCCTTGGCGAGTACTACTCCAGACTTCACTAGTTAACACTGCGACACAGTGAGAGCAAAGGGACAGAGCACAATGCCTAGCCCAGCACAATGACACAGCTAACAAGATCCCAGTCTTGAAATTCAAGTTGAGCACACGGAACCGTGGGCTCCTCCCTCTTAAGAACTCCTGCTCATCCTTCAGATCATTTCCACGGATCATTCCACTCACTTAAAATGTGACAAATATCTACTGAATGCCAAGTCTACGCGAGGGCAGCCATAGGCTCTGTTTCCTTCAGGAAGCTTCTATTCTAGGAGGCAGCTTAAAAGGGCAACAAACCAAACAAGGAAGCAGACAAAATACCTACAAAATGTGCAACGGCAGGGAGGAAGCCTCTAGATGCCTTCCTGGCCCCGAACACGCGGTCAGGTTCCGGGGCTGCACATCTGGGGTGAAGGGGACGCCTTTTCTTTGCGGCACTTGACACTTTACATATGAGCTAGTCCTTAGAGAACGCTTCTCCTACGGGAGCAGAAACGCCCCAGGAGTAGGGACAGGGCAGGATGGGGGCCCAACACGGATCAATTTCTGCATCAATGGATAGGCTGAACCCCCCGACCCCCACTGGATCGGGACGCTCGGGCCCCGTTTTCTCCACTGAGAACCCCTTCCCAACAGTTCCCGCAGGAGCAGGGCTCCGAGACCTACTGAGGACAAAAGCAGGAAACACAAAGACAAAAACCTTTCCAACAGGGCGTGGTCCTCACCAGGCTCCAGCTGGGGGAAAGCAGGGCCTTCTTCGGCCTGAAAGAACCCAGCGCCCCAGGGGAAGGAGGGACTAGGCACCCGCCCAAACGCTGCCCGAACCCCAGCCGGGATCCACCTCCTGCTGGCTGAGGTCGCAAGGACAATCGGTGCATCGCTCGCCACGGGCTGGGAATGCCCTGCGAGGGCCAGGGAGCCCAAACGGACCGGGACGGGACTGGGGAGAACCGGAATTGGCAATTTCCTGTGCAGGAAATTGGGGGCCCCAGAGTGTCTTCAAAGCCGCGGTGCTGTGCGACCTTGGGTAAGTCACCTAACCTCTCTGGGCCCCCGTGCCCTCCTCGATAAAAGAGGGGGCCTGAGCAGATGCCCTCAAAAGTCTGGAGGAGGTAAAAGCCCCGCGGATCCCAAAGTGAAATCCGGATGTGCCGACAGCGCTGGGCTGCGCCAAGTTTAAACTCTGCTTCGGGGAAAGCGCGAGAGAGCGCGGGTGGCGGCGGCGGGATGAGAAGGGCTCGCGCCGCCTGCAGGTTTTCCTCGGACCGCCCCGAAGCCCCCGCGTCGGCCTCGCTCACCTCCAGACACGGGTGAGCTCGGACCAGCTCCCCAGCAGACTGTGGCAGCCGCACTCGCTGCCCCTCCACAAGCAGCGGCATCGCAGCTGGGACCGCCTCGCCAGGCCCAGGGAGGCGGCGGCGGCCTCCCCAGCACCGCCGCCGCCGCCGCCGCCGCCGCCGCCGCCACCGCTGCGTCCCGCCCTCCAGCACCGCCCCGCCCCGTTCTGAGCGCTGCCGGGAAATGCAGTCCAGACAGAGGCACCACCGTCCGAAGACGCTGAGACATGCAAGGCGCATCGCAATACCTCACGGGAAATGTAGTCCAAATTCAGGAAGCGGACGGGCCCGGACGGTTTTTCTCGAGGGACGCCGGGAAATGTAGTTCCAGCAGCGTGGGAAGCAAGCGAGAGTCAAGCCAAGCCCAAGCGAGGAGATGGGCATCTGCCACAATTTTAGCTCTCTCCGGTAACTTGGGGCTTGAGGACCAGCTCTGGGGTCCGCGTGATTTAGATCCCTGCTCTTCACTGCTCAGGTTTGAGTCTTGGGACCCTGCTGTGCCTCTCCATAACAGTCTTAAACTGGGAAACAGATCCAGCTCTACAGCACATCAGCGAGGGGAAAGTTCCGGGATAGTGTGAGATGAAGAGGATCAGGCGCCTTATTAGAATTTCATCCTCTTCGCGGTCTCCATAGTGACCAGAGGAGAAGCTCACGGGCGTCCCCCCCACCCCACCCCGAGCTCACCCAACTGTTCACCTGAAACAACCCTTCAGAGTACTTCTCTGTTATCACACCTCCATTTCTCATTTGCTCCTCGCAAACGTGGATGTTAGTATAAACACCTGTGTTGCCCAAAGTCCTACAAGTGAAGGTGGAAGACCTAAGATGAAATCCAACTTTGTGTGATTCCAAAGCTGGAGCTGTGTCACCTTAATGTCCTCCTAATCAGCTATAAGCAACTTGTAATGGAGGTAAAATCAAGTAAACCCCGATTAGGAAGCTCTAGGCTAAAGAACAGGATTTGAAACTCAGGTAACCAATTACCAGCTGTGTGACCTTGAGTATGTAACCTTGTATCTGTCAGGACAGGGATAATGTTACCTGACATAAACAATAGACAGCTATCATTAGGATTGCATAGTGCAGTCAACAAAAGTGAGGCTTGTTTTTGGGTGCCCTGGAACTCAGGGCCTTTATCATGCTAGCCAAGAGCCAGAGCCTGCAGGTTAGGCATTTTGAATGGCAGAGAACGCCCTGTGTTACATTACTCACTGTTTGGGCCACCTGCCCCACCCACCATCTCCACCCCACATTTTAACTTTTTTTTCCAAGTAACTTCGGAAGATTTTGGTTTGGGTTTTTTGGGTGTTTTTTTTTTTTTTTTTTTTTGTGGTACTCCGTCTTGAACTCAGGGCCTTCACCTTGAGTCACTCCACCAGCTCCTTTTTTGTGATGGGATTTTTAGAGACAGGGTCTCTCAAACTATTTGCCTGGGCTGGCTTCGAACCCTGCTGCTACTTTGCCTAGGTTTGATCCCTATCGATACCAAAAAATACAGCACTGCAAAAAAAAAAATACTTTTCTTCCAAAATAAACACAAAAACAACCAAATACCAAGAAACTCCATACCAGGATATTTTCAGTTTAATCTTAGTAGTAATAATCACTATTTTTTTGTTTACTCCATTAAAGCAACAACCATTAATAAATGAACATTGCAGTGGGCAAACAACTATCTATCTATTCAGGAGGCCAAGGCAGAAGGATTACTTGAGCCTGGGAATTCAGGGCCAGCTTGGGAAAAATTGTAAAAACCTCTTTAAGGGAAAAAAAAAAAGCTGGAGATGAAGATGTAGCTCAGGCCCTGGGTTCAATTCCCAGCATTGCAAAATGCCTTTTTTTTTCAGTACTGAAAAAAGAAGTCTGTACCTCCACCCCCTGCAGATGGATGGAAGTGGGCTGTTAGGAAATCAGGGTGTGGCACAGCATAACCTGAGTTAGGCCAATGTAAGCAGCGCCTGGCAGGAACGTGCTGGCTCCTCCTCTCCAGCTCAGGTCTCTTAGGTTGGTACCAGTAAGTAACATGGAGGAAGAGGAAGCCATCATCCTTGCCTTTAACCACCTTTCCATGCACGGGCTACCTGCTTCCCTGGACTTTCTCACCCAGCAGCCCAGACAGTAGCTAGGATTCGCTGACTTGCCCTTCAGCAGCAAATCTTCAGGGCTGAGCTCAGACACAGGGTAAGAACTTGCTCAAGGGCAAACTGCTGGAGAAAAGGAACCCAGGCCTGAACCCAGCCCAACCAGAGCAGTCACAAGGATGGACCCTGGAAACTGCAACTGAAGGCTTGCTTTGTTAGGAAGAGAGAAAATTCCATCATTTTCCACGATTTTTACCTCCATAAATGTTCCTTCAAAGCATGTAACTTTTTTTCCCTCCCTTTTTGAGTCTTGCTCTCAAAAAGTTCTAGGCTGCCTGAAACTCACTCCTCCTGCCTCAGCCTAACAAGTTCTGGAATTACAGGTGTGCACCACCATGCCCAGCTAGCATGTAACCTTTTTGAAGTGTCTGTTTCCTTGGGCCTGTCCGGGCCTGTCCCTCTTGGCTCAGGGAGAGTTGCTGACACTGCAGACACATGGAAACTATCCTCATCACTGCCTGTACTCTATTTCTGAACACTCCCAATAACACTTGCAATATTTTCCGCTTTAGTATTGAGGTCTGAGTTTTCCAAAGCAGAAAAAATGCTTTATACACACCAAATTAAAAAGAAGCAACAGAAAGCAAAAGACCATCTATGTAAGAAGTCTTTATTAAGGTACCCCATTTACTGGCATAAAAATGAAAGTTCCAAATTAATCATAGCATTGTTTTATTTTCACAATGGATTTTTTTTTCTCAAGTCCCTTTGAAATTAAACAGACTTAAATGGAAATACATCCTTCCACATTATAACTGCATCCCAAATCACAAAAGCCTGCTTCCCATTAACTTCTACGGCTGGAATTTCCTTTCCTCATTTTATCCAATATACAAAAATCACCTTGATGTAGCAGTTAAAAAGAGAACCTTAGGTTTTCAAATGAATTTCCACCAAGTCACCAAACAAAAATAAATAAAAAATAAAATCACTGATATCCAAAAACTTTCTAAAGCAATAAAAATTTCTTTTTTCCAAAAAGGTATTTACAGACTAAAATTGAAACACTGCATTACCATCAATGTAATTATACAAGAGCATATGAAGCCCTAGGAAAGAGGAAGTATTTCATTATAAAATATTTGTGATTGAGAAAATATTGCTTGTTTTTAAATAAATACAAGTGTCAGAAAAATAAATAAAGATGACCATTTTGACAAGTACACAAAGAGTACACTAATAAGGAACAAAGAGAAAAGACAGATGAGTTCAACACAAGTCTGGCGGTGCTAGCACAAGTCTGTTAGAGAGCAGGCTGTCTTAGTATAAAGTACAAAACGAGGCTTGTTAAAGGATTTCCTCCAGACACCACACAGACTGCAGGAGTAACTTCAGCCTGTTGCTTTTAGCAAACCATTCCACACCAAATGAAAAAAAAAAAAAAAAAAAAGTTTTCCTTGGGGATGTAGCTCAAGTGGTAGAGCACCTGCCTCGAAAGCCCGAGGCCCAGAGATCAAACCCTAGGACCTCCCCTACACCTTAAAAATAAAAAACTTCTGAAAAAAACTAACTGATGCTAGTTAAAACCAAGTCGGTGCAACTGCTGCAAACAAGCAGTTCCAGCTTTCACAGACACTGGATGTGTTTCACAGGAGCCGAAGCCCCGTCCACTTAGCGTGCATTACATTTATCCGGACCTCCATTTTTCTTTCAAATCCATTTTGTACTCCACAAGTATATTACTTGTCTGACTCTGATTTCCTGCATCCTCTAACTCTTCCCTCCTGGCCGTATGTGTCACTGAAGTCCCTGGAGAGCTCCTTCAGTACTGGCCCAAACTCGGCATCCTAGCCTCACTCTGGCATTTCCCTGCTTCCCGTCCATCTTCTCTGCACCCCAACACACAAAACAGCAGACAGTAAACAACACAACCAAAATAAACACATCCTACTTAAATAGCGTTATCTTAGAGGATTTTTCACGTCAGATAAACAAAGTCCTGTGACTGTGATTTTGACAGAAACCCATGTTAAAACAGCCATCTGTTAAAACAGGCTGTTACCAACATTAGAAATTACACAACGATTATGTCAAAAAGCTGTAACACAGTAAACTAACGAGCACTCTTCATATTAACCCCATGTAAAATATTACACATGATATTCAGTCTTTTCCTTTCTCTGTACGGGGGGCAAAAAACAAAACAACAACCATGCCTGTTGAAGTTAGACAGAGTCTAACTTCAAGTGTGATGCCTGGGCACATACTCTACTCCACTGCAATGCCCAAGAGGCTCATCCTGGGCACTGACAGGCATAATGGGTAGCACAGTGTCTCAATCACAGATCTTTGCAATCACAGGGGACTGGTCTGGCATGTATAACACAGGAGGGGACCCCACACTACTGCAAGGACTTCGGAAATGGGCATCAAAGGAGCTCGGCGTAAGCCCAATCACTGTATCGTTCTGGTGCACTTCACCTTTCAAAAAATCATCATCTTCATCTTCTACCATCTCCTGTCAAAAAAAAAAAAAATATTATGAATAATATCACAAGTGGGGGTGGGAAAAATTTCCAAGAGCAAAGCACCAGGAGCTCACACCTGTAATCCTAGTTATGTGGGAGGGGGAGATTAGGAGGATCAAAGTTCAAGACCAACCCATGCAAACAGGTCAAGAGACCCCATCTCCAAAATAACCAGAGCAAAATGGAATAGAGGAATGGCTCAAGTAGTAGAGCGCCTGCTTAAGCATTAAGCCCTGAGTTCAAACCCCAGTCCCATGGTAGGAAGGGGAAGAAAGGAGAGGGGAGGGGAGGGAAGAAAGAAGGAAAAGGGAAACAGGCACATTGAAGCAATAAATGCAAAAATTAATGTGCTGCAAAGGCAGTTGTGTGACTTGTGACTTTCCTTAGCTGCACTCACTGCCCCAGCTGCACTTTATGGAGGGTAAGTTGCAAGCCTGAATCTACCCCACACTCATGCAGATCGAAGATAATTTAAAAATAAAACAATCTGAGTATTCTACTTGGTGCTGATGATCACACAAGTGGTGATGATCAAAATTAGCTGGAGGGAGGCTGAGGTGGTGCAGTGCCTGCCTAGCAAGTGAGAAGCCTGACTTCAAACCCCAGCACCACAAAAACAATATCTAAATAACGCTAATTTTTAATTAACTATCATTTCCCAAAGTCAGTATATGGCTCAATAAAATAAAATTTAAAACTTTTTAAACAATAAAAATGTGACCTGCGCTTGGGTTCTTATGCAGGCAGAATGAATAAAAGGTAGTATTTGTGAGGTATTGCTATTTACATTTTGACTGTGACCTGCAACCACAAAGGAGATCCTCACAGTGTGTATCTTAAACTTACCTTCTTAATGGGTTTCTTAAAGTCCTGCAGCTCCTCAGCACTCATGTCTTCCCATATCTGGTAAACAGGATCAATGAATTTCTTTGACCTAGCAACAAGAATCACATTTAAAAGTCAATGTGAATACACAGGAAACCAAAGTCAAGGCATGCCCAACTCTTTTTCTTAGATCCACTTCCCAAACCAAGAAGCAAAAAAAGAATACTCTGTGTAAGGTCTCTTTCTGCTAAGACTGCACTCACTCCCAGATGGAACTCTCATGTTTCAAGTGAAATTGTTTCTAACTATACAATGACCAACAAGTTATAACACATCCAAGTGAAAACTAAACTGAGTATTCTGGAACTCCCTTTTTTATATTGCTACAGGATCCTAATGAAGAATAAGTCTGGAAAACCAACTAATCAGATTTCAACCAGTCAAGACTTAGAGGACCAGACAATTCCAAATGATTATGCTAATGAGACTATTACGAGCAAAAGTCTTGCTTCCTTAAACAAATGCAAAGTTAAAACTGGCATGGTGGTTTTCTCGAATAACCTATCTAGATAACCCACTTGGCCTTTGCTTATCCTGTGCAACTGTATGGGATGTGGTCTCTGGACAAAGGAACACATTGGCAGAAAACTGAGCCAACAAAAGGCAGTACCCTATATAAACAAAAACTCCAGTGTCCCTGTGGGCTCCTACCAAGGTAAACATCTAGAGACCCTGGTGTGCCTAGGACACATGCAATCCCTTCAGCATTCTGTCCTCAGGGCTTGTGCAAGACTAAGAGCTAGGAAGGCCGCACAGGACAAAACCACCTTAACCCCAACCTTGAGAAAAGTAAATCTTTGTCACATTCAAATTACCTCTTAAGCACACAAGGGTCAAAGGGGAAGAAGGTGTCCAGCGGGTTGGTGCAGGTCTGCACCAAGTCCCCTCCAGCTGTGTTTCTAATAACTGGGAGCATCTGACGACTGTTCCTCTCGATGATAGTGTAGCAGAAGACAAGCTGGTATTTACTGCGGAACATCAAAACCAACAGACAGGGGGCATTAACTTGTGGCAGCTGCATAGACATGACACATGTGCCAACTGTCCTGACACAATGAACAAGCACAAAAAAGAAAAAGTACCTACAGAAAGTAATGCCTTTATAGTACAGGTCTCTGGGCCTACTATTTAAGTCTGTAAGGAGAAAGAAAAGTGGCTATCATCACATAGAATGTGAAACTGGACTGACAATGATATACGGTATTATGAAAAACTACATGTTTGCAAGGTAAAGCCAGTTTACACAATTAGATGGGTATCTATTTTAATGTTCACAAAAGAATTACAGGATTGGTGAAAACAGGACTCAGTAGTGACTGAGGGCAAACAGTAGTTGTGGATGGAGAGCCCCTGGCTGCTGACAAACAAAAATTAGGACTTAAACGTTGAGGAAGGGATCGAGGTGGGGCTGACTGAGTCGTGGTCTCAGAAACTGGTACAGAAAGGTTAAGAGGCACAGCGTAGAGCTGGTGGAGTTGCTCAAGTGGCAGGGCACCTGCCCAGCAAGAGAGGCACAGGCACCATGACCAAGAACAGCTAAACAGACAAGGATTCATAATAAAAACCCAACAGCCACATTGTTATGCTGTCAGCTATTCTGGTAATTACCTCTACATGACTTAGCAGCACAAAAACTCTCGCTGGATGCTGCCCCAAGGAGAATTTAGCTCACTTCTGCCATTCTCTACTCCCCCCAGCCCCTCCTGAAGCGTCCATTTCGGTATTTATGTCAAAGGCTCTCAGGTTTCTACAGCAACTGTTTTTAGGTACCGGGAACTGAGCTCAGGGCCTGTGCTTTCTAGGCAGACGAGCTACAATTGAGCCATCCCCCGGCCCTTTGCTTTGTTTTTCACATAGGTCTGTGTTTTTGCCCAAGCCGTCCTCAGAGCTCCATCTTTCTACATCTGCCTCCTGAGTAGCTGTGACTACAGGTGTCAGTCTAGTAAGTATCTTTGGTTTTGTACCTTTCAGCTTACAGCTGCCTTAGTGAAGAATTTGAAAGGCTTCTGTTTGTTGAAGCCCTGTGGATAAAAACCAGTAGCAACTGTCAGTGTCTTCAAAATCTAAAAACAAGATCTGCCATGCAGTATTTCCTACAAGTAGTAGGTTACTGGTTTCTTTCAAAATATTTTATTCTTATTAATTCTCAAAAATTTAATGAAATTTTATAAGACTACTACAACCAAAAATTTATTTTTAATTCCTTAACACAGTAGGAAATAGTATCAGTCTCACACATTTACTTCTAAATGATTTCATGAAAGATAGCACAAATAACTTACTTTGTGATAGCAGCAAAAAAGTTAACCACTGATGGCAGGCAAATCTTCAGAGGGTTTAGTTGACTCATCACTATTCGTTCAAAATTTAGACTCTGAAGATACCGCAAACCTTTGATTAAAAAAAAGTTGTTCTTTTAAAAGGTACCCATATAATCAAAAAGTTGTCTTGGGTTTGCTCCCCAAAACCCAAAAAATAAAAATTTAAAACCTTATTTGCAGAAAAGCTTTAAATAAGGATCCTTGTTGGGACAGTAACACACTAGCCTTACTGCATCCATTCATGACAAAGGCAGCTTTTTGAGAAAGTCTCACCCTTGAACTCTCCATTCTCCTGCCTCAGCCTCTCAAGTGCTGGATGATTACAGGTGTGTGCCACCTTTTTGCCTGGCTGTTTATCCTTTTAAAGACTCAGGAAATAATAAGCACGTTTCCAGTGAGCTGTGAGGATGCATGGCAATCTAGAATTCATATATCTGTAAACTGAGCACATGCTGAAGATTACTGTGGGTGGCGGGGGATTTAATTATGGAATTTATTATGGCTAACATTATGACAGGCAACAAAACAGCAACCTGATTTCAATGTGCATGTCTTAAATTATTAGTGAAATTGAACAATGTTTTCACATGTGTACTAGTTGTTTACATTTTTCTCTCACCTTCCCTCTGACCCACTTTTTCAGACAAAAAGCTATCATGAAACTAATGAATATGATTCTTTCCAACAAGCAGAATACAGTGGCACAAGTCTGTAATTCCAGCTATCCAGAAAGGGGAGGCAGGAGGATAGACTACTGAGGCCAGCCTGAGACCTTACTGAGACCTTATCTCAAAAATAAATAAATAAATAAAATAAAGAATTCTCTCTTTCATTTCTTATATTAGTAAAATACAGACACATTTACTATGAAGATGCAAGCAGGCCAACCTCTGTTTAAGTATATTTCTTAGGAATTCTTTGATGTATACGTTGACTTAAAAAATTACATAAATGGGATAACAAGGCTTACAAGAAACATTTCCTCTCTAATCAAGGGTCCTGGCATTTGTTTACACCAAAAAACAAAGCAGGAATTTTACTTACCTTGTGATAAACTCTCCCTTCCTATTACACTCCCAAAACTTTTTAGAAGCATGCACAGTGTAAGTCAATATATATAGCTCAACACATGTAATTTCCAGTTTAGAGCTGTGTTCTCATCCCCAGGTGACTGTGTCCTCAGAGACAGTACTAACTGTCTCTGTGTCACAACTGGGGGCTGGGAAGGGGACACTGTTGGCATCTAGGAGATAGAGGCAAGGGATGCCGCTGAAGAATGTATGGAACAGGACAGCCCCACAGTGAAGGATTATCCAACCCAGATATCAATAGAGCCAAGGCTGAGAAGCCCTGGTTTAAAGGTAACAGCTACAAATGAACTAATTGTTCATGAAAACAAAACAATTTAAGGCCGGGGAGTGGGGAGAAGGAGAGTGGCTCAAGTGGTAGAACTACCTGCCTAGCAAGCACAAGGCCCTGAGCTCAAACCCCAGTATGTCTACCAAGAAAAAAGAAAGGGGAAGGAGTGGGGGGTGGGGGTGGGGGTGGAGAGAAAAGGGAGGGAAAGAGGGAGGAAGGGAGGAAAAAACAACTGAAGTCTATGGCCATACCACCTGATCATGCCAGACCTCATCTGATCTCAGAAGCTAAGCAGGGTTGGGCCTGGCTAGTACTTGGATGGGAGAAAATAAAACAACTTAGATTGACTTATCACATTCTTCTTAGGGGTACTCTTCAAATAAAAACACATTAACTACTTGATCCCCAGCAAAGTCCTTCTCTGAGCTTTGGTCTTAGTCAAGTGGGAGAACCTGCACTTCACTGGCTGTTACAAGGACAAGGAGAGGATGCACTGGAAGTTTTGTGACTGGTGCTGCCGGCTCAAACACTCAAACTCATCTCTGTAGATGACTTCACCTTTCACATTCTCTAAAGCAGGGGCCCCCAACCTCAAACCCTTTAATAGCTGAAGAGGAAGCTTAAGCTTTGAGCTGCTTCAAGTTACTTGTAAAAGTGTGAGGACACGTGTAGTATGCAGAATCACCACTATAAAAGGCGACAAGTACACTAAGAAAATCAGCTTGAATCCCACATTACTGACCTTCCTTCAGATTTCCACTTAAAAGCTGCTTGTGTCTAAAAACAAAAGTATAGAACACAGCTTGGCAGGCTGAATAAAATGGTCCGTGGAGAGACACATCACAAAAAGCCTTTGTTCCCGAATCCTGGTTGTTAAGGTACACATGCAGCCAGTTAACCAAAAGATCAAGGCATGATTTTACAGTGCTGGAGAGAAGAAAAGTTCAAGTCAACTTTACTTGCTTCAAGAGGAAGTTAAAAGTGACATAGAAACATACATTTGTCATTCATTATAAATTATGAGAAGTTCACCAGCTTCTTTAAATATTACCCATGGGCAGGGGGTGTAGCTCAGTGGTAGGCACTTGCCTAGCATGCATGAGGCCCTAGGTTCAATCCCCAGCACCACCGAATTAAATAAATAAATAAATAAATAATTGGAGGAAGAAAAGGACCAGTGGTAAGGTGGAGCAGGACTTGGAGGCATGGCTCAAGTGGTAGAGTGCCTGCCTAGCAAAGCTTCTTGGAAAAACAAGCCCCTAATTACATCCCAAGAAGTAGAGGCTAGTTCCTCCTAGTCAACTCAGAGGGCTCCTTGGATGGGCTCCAACTCTTGCAGCAATATGGCGAAAGACCAAGGCACTTTACTAACATCTCACAAGAGAAAGACTGCCTGATGGGCTTCACTGCTCCCCATGGGATGCAAATGAAGTCCTATGGTCAACAATTTAAGCCAGAAAGCTTTTAGTTGCTGTTTTTAACAGCATCTAAACTCTGTTGAGTTTTTCAAAGCATACTGCCCAAAAATATCTTCATGGACCACCTGAAGAAACAGGCTTCCTAGATAGATCCTTTTGTATTACCTTTTTTGTGTTGGTGCTAGGAATGAACCCCGGGTTTCACACATGTGAAGGATCTGCTCTACCACTGAGCTACATGCCCAACCCTTTGTATTACCTTTAAGAGGGTTTTTCTTCAGCTCAAACTGACACATTTGATTCGGAATGCAAATGAAAAATGACAAACCTACAAAAAGAATCAAAATAGTATACAACACTGTACGCTATCCATAAAGACAGATGGATTTTCATGCTCAAGTGCAACCACACAGAATGGATGACAAGACCTTGCAAATGAGGTGTTATATTCAAAACAGGACATGCTTTATTCAGAAATTGCTTCTTAAAAAAAGTATCTTAAAGAGTGGGAGAACATACTTTTTCATTTTAAAGATAGACCAAAAAAATATATTTCTTTGACTTGAGACAATGCTATAATCTTTTTAAAATATGATAATAAAAAGTACCTGAAAAATGAGGTTACTTACATAAGAGGAATAAATTTAGCTCTTGCCAAAAGGCTCCCAATGTAATTTCCAGCAGCTTGCCTGATGATGGCAGGATTATTTGGATCCTGTAATTTTTTCCATAGATGTTCCAAAAATGCTTCTGCAAATCCCTATAAAAAGAGAAGGTGTTGGCCTGATCTTCTCTTGATGCTTAAGATATCCTGGCTATTAGAATCCTAAGATTTACTTCTCCAATGTAGGAAAAAAGTTCTAGTGTCTCAGCTATACTACAAAATAATAAATACAATGGCCATGATTTTTTTTTTTAAACACCATGAGATAATGCTACTTAAAACTAAAGGTATCCCTGGTATTAAATAGTTCAGTGGATCCCAAATCTAGTTGAGCAACAACATGAAGCAGAGTATCAGACATGGAGGTCAGCACCTATAGCACTACAGAGGCTGCAGTAGAGGGATCAAGTAAGCCTAGGAGTCTGGGGTCAAGGCAGGCAACACAGCAAGACCCTGTCTCAAAAACAAGCTTGAACGTGCAGATTCCGTGGGTATGAGATAGGGCTTTGGAATCTGCATGTTGTAAAAGTTCTCCAAATGATTCTGATGTTCTGCCAAAAGGAAACCAGCGATCACCCACACTCCCTGGAATCCACAGGGAATTCCCTTTGTGGGTGGAAAGTGTCCTTTCCATCTTGGCACACACTGAACTTAAACACACAAGTATGGATTAAAATATAGTTGCTGTTTGACTAATCATGCCACTCGTGGAAAAAATAGACCAAGCTCCTTAGCAAAGAGCATAACATGCAACTTCTACCAAAGAGCTCCTTTTTACAGCTAACTTCTTACCCATGACCAATACTCTCCTGACTATTCAAGGCAGCTACAAAACAGTTTCAAATAAGAGAGAAGAATCTTCTGTATTTGCTTTTCATTATTTTTTTTCTTTATCCAAAAGAAAAACAAACAAACAAAAGCTATGTCCTCAAATTTCAAAATTCTGGATTAAAAAGTTTGACTGGGGCTAGTTAGGACTCAATACTGAGAGATTAGAGGAAAGAAAGAGAGCACTATCCCACAAGATGTTACTAGAAAGGACAAAACTGAAAGAAAAGGGCACCACCTAGAGGTCACATGCAGGGTGACAGCTTGAGAGCTCCCAGCTGTCATGACTGACAACAGCACCAATTACTTCCCTTTGCTCTTTCTTTCCAAGTGTGAGAAATGGAATGCAACTTTATTTCAGGTTCTAGAAAAATGAGTTCAGGGAAAAGGAATACCTCACGGTCTCCCTCTGCAAATTTTCAAAGAAAAAAATTGTGGGAAGAGCAAGATAATGACAATGACATTTTTACTTACCAATTTGAAGCTACAGAGGTAAAACATGAAAAACTGTACATGGCAAGAGGCATGGGTGGGCAACAGGAGCTTGTCAAAGATGGTTATCAGATCTCGATATAAATCCTTTGTTTTGTTATTATCAATCTTACCTACAAAGAAAATTCGGAATTTTAGTTACATAAATGTGTATTTTCAAGCTACCAGTTTCATTTGACAATTTTTAAAAGAACACAGTAGTATTAAGAAATAAGCACTGGAAAAAGGGAAAGGAAAGGAATTGGAGGGAGGGGAGGGGAAGGTAGAGGAGGGGAGGGGAGGGGAGAGGAGAGGAGAGGAAATGGCATTGAGACTGCACATGGTGGCAAGCTAAGCGGAAGGTGTAAATAGAAAACTCCAGGAAGCTGGAGGTCCAGGCCCACCCAGGCAAAAATGTGACCCTATCTGAAAAATAACTATAACAAAAAGGCTGGGGCGTGGCTTAAGTGGGAGAGTGCCTGCCTAGCAAGCAAAAGACCCTGAGTTCAACCTCAGAACTGCCAAAAATGAAAGGAATGGAAAGAAAGGAGGGAGAGGGGGAAAAAAGGGAGGAGAGGAGAAAGGGAGGGAGGGAGGAAAGGGCAAAATTAGGCCAGCGCGGGGGGGGGGGGGGGGGGTGGATAGCTCAAGTGGTAAAGTGCTTGCTTAGCACAAGTGAGGACCAAGGTTTGATTCCCAACCCTGCAAAAAACATATTTTTAAAAAGACTATGTTCACACTAAATATAAAGAATAGATCATAAAACATGATGTCTAGTGTCACCTACCCACTTCAAATCTATTAAGAAATGAACTTGGGGCTGGGAACATAGCTCAGTGTTGGAGCACTTGCCTGGGAGGCTCTAGGTTGACCGCCAGCATCTCAAAAAGGCAATTGTGTATATTCATACATATACACATGTTAATAGAAAAGGAAAAGAAATACATCAAAATGTTGTTAAGAGTTCTTTGAATGGTAGGGATGTGGCCATTTAAATTGTTTTTATGCTTTCCTGTAGTTTCTAATTTTTTTTTTTTTAGGTGGGACTGGGGTTTGAACTCAGGGCTTCGTGCTGTCAAAGCAGGTGCTCTACCACTTGAGCCACACCTCTAGCCCATGTTTAAAGCTCTGGTTATTTTTGGATATAGGGTCTCATAACTCTGCCTGGTTGGCCTTGAACTGCAATCCTCCTGCTCTCAGCTTTTCAAGTAGCTAGGATTACAGGAGTGAGCCACTGGCAACTGTCCAATTTTCTTTTTTTAAAGACAGGGTCTCACTATGTAGCCCGGGCTGGACTAGAATTTTTGCTCCCCCTACCTGGGCCACGAGTTGTGGGGTTACAGGCTGCCTCACCTAAATTTTCTCTAATCAACATTTAAAAATAAAAGCAAAACAGTTAAAATAGTAGCCGAGTCAACCAGATCCAAGTCCTATTATGCTGACTAATTAAGCTCAGTTTTAAATCTTAAAGTACATGGCCAAAATTCTGTTTTCTCATGCAGTTTCCAGACAATTTCCTAATGGCAAAAAGCAAATTGTTTTGTTTAGTTCTAGTACCTAGCACAATAAACTCACTATGTAACACTGAGCACCATACTGCAAAGCCTACTACACATTCTTAAATGCCTTTAGCAACTCAAGTATAATGTGATCTCTGCCTAACACCGATCAAAGTCCATATATTATCTTTTAATACAATGAAGAAAAGACTAGGGGCCCTAGAAGAGAAGTATAACTGTTATCTCAACCCGGGTCCACCATTTTCAGGCTGTGTGACATTGGCAAGAAAGCTGATCTCTCCAAACTGTTATCTCATACTTGAGTGAGTTTTACAGGATTTTTATTAGTGCTAGACAGAATGGATGGAAATGTCCAGCAGAGACAGGTTCATTAGTGATTGAGATAATCATAGGTTGTTACCATCCACATAGCAAACATCCTTGATGTAAGACAAAAGCATGGACAGCAGGATGTCCAGGCGCTCAGCTACAGGATGGGCCATCTGACAGAGCCGCTCAGGATCAGCCTTTGTTTCATGCTCATTTTCTTCATCTTCATCCTTCAAAGTAAAAACTGACATTAAAATTCAGTGAAAGTGGTTTGTGAGAAAACCCTTCCAAGTGATTATTCCCTCTAAAAGAAAATGGAGAAAATGAAGACACCTTCCCAGGCAGGGACTCTCATTCAGAGAGATGTGGATCACAATGATTTGTGAAGTTTAAAATAGACACTAAGCTAGGTGTGGTGGCTCACACCTATAAACCCAGCACTCAAGAGGCTGTGCCAGGAAGATCCGAGTTAAAGGCCAGCCTGGGCTGCATAGCAACAATCTATCTCAAAAAAACCAAAAAGGCTTGGTACATAGCTCAGTGGTAAATTACTTGCCTAGCATACCCAAGGCCCTAGATTTGATCCCCAAGACTTTAATGAAAGAAAAAAGGTGGTGTTCATGTTTGACCAGGCTTCTCACTATGTCTGTCACAAGGGTTTTCAGAATCAAGTGATTCCTGCCCAAGAAACAAAAGCAAAATCATTCCATTCCCCAGGGAATTTGGATGAAAACTGGTAACGAAATCAGGTACAACTGTAAGAGGAGACACTGGAGGAGAACCTAGCTGGGTCTGTAAGTAACTGTGTGAGATGACATACATATTTACGCTCTACCATGGTCAGCAATGGTCTTGGCATCAAGTGGACAGTGTCAACACTGCCTAGATAGGTGGGTATTTTAATCTGGGGATCTGATTTTTCTTTTTCTTTGATTACTTCAAGAATGGCTCAGTGGATGTGTGGCTCAACTGGTAGAGTGCCTGCTTTACAAGCTTGAAGCCCTGAGCTCAAACCCCAGTCCCACCCAAAACAAAGGCTAAGTAATAAATATGTTGCCAGGTACCAATGGCTCACACCTGTAATACTAGCTACTCTGAAAGCAGTGATGAGGAGGATCGTGGTTCAAAGTCAGCCCAGGCAAGCAGTTCTCGAGACCCTATCTAAAAAAAAAAAAAAAATCAGGAAAAAAAGACCTGATGGAGTGGCTCAAGGTGCAGGCTCTGAGTTCAAACCCCAGTACTGCAATAAACAAGTAAGTGAAACTTATGGAAAAAAAAAAAAAAAAAGGCAGCAATGTACATACTCATTCTCAGGTTTGCTAACCATTTTAATTGTTTTAACCTAAAGCCTTAAAAAAATGAGAACTCATTAGCTGTCTCTTTCTACATTCTGAAATGATGAACCTCTCATGACTGCTTTCATTAACAGGAATGCTGACCATATTAAACAATCCTTCAGTGGAATCAGTGCCAGCAGAAGTTCGAGCTGGTGTCTCCTCAGCATCTTCAATATCCTGCCAGGATACAGTCACCTGTATCACAAGAAAAATACTTATGTGAGGGCTGGAAACTTATCTCGTATACATATTTTAAAGGTGTTCATCTCAACACCTTATAAAGCACCACAGCACAACTACAGCACAAACCTATAAAGTGATCTGGATCATGAAGGAATTTCAATATGATAAGCCAAGTTCCTTTTACTACAAACTTACATAAAATCAACGTGGAACTGTGACAAGATATATACTCTAAACCCCTCTCAACAAATTCAACATTTATTCCATCTCTTTCGATGCTTAAGCCACTCACAAACATGTTCCATAAGCAGGTCATCCATCGCCTGAGCAGAAAGGATGAACTACAAACCAAATGTGAATGATTAAACATTTACTACACTCTGTATGCGTTGTTTTATTATAGCATTCAAACCACAGCTTCTTTACTATGTATGCATGATTGTTGTAGACATACTTTAAAAATGTTCCTTTAGAATAAACCAGAGACAGACTTTGTAAGGATTATATATGCAGCTAGCCAGAAAAGTAACCCCAAGGGAATGCTGTCAGCAAGCCAACTTCTGGCTCTGTTCCTCTACAGCAAAACTGTTTATCTCCATCAAACTTCTAGCTCCTCAAGCCTGTTCAAGTCTCCCCATTTCTGAGCCATGTTTCCCACACTTGCTCCATTCCCCCACCACCTACGCTACCAAGACTCATGGAGGTCTCTTACAGCGCCAGTTCCTAACCAAACACACTGTCCTGACAGCCATCCCTTCACTGGCATGCCCCTCTAGAGGCACCAAATTCTCATCAACGAACCCAAGGACTTTTGCTTTTCTCATCCTTCTTCAAAATATCAGAAATATCTGATGGTGCAGACCAGACCCTTCCTTCTTTCAGGTGCTCCCAGGCATCCACAACTCAGTTTCCTCCCTCTTGTCATCACCCTTGCTCTCCTCTGTCCTACTGTATCATCCCATAGGCTTATTCTCATTCCTTACCTGCAACTCAACCTCTCCAAAATGGAACATTTTATCTTCCAGTCTCCTCACCTTGAAGTTTCTTTCAGCTGCTAATGGCAACACCAAGATTCTACCCCACAGGAAGCTAGCAACATTCAAAGGATTCCATTCCCTCCCCCTCTGCTCCACCACCAACCCTGTGTGATCATCATTCTCCTTTCGTCCACAATGTCACTACACCCCACCACCCATTTTTATACCCCTGCATCTTATGGCAGGCCTCTTTTAAGCAAACTAAACAAAACGTTTAGTTGCTTCCCTTCATACTTGCACTTGTAAAGCATTTCAAAGATTAAAAAGCTGTATTAATCTCATCTCAACATCGCTTCCTTAGAAATGCCTTCCGGACACCCCCACAACACACATCACACCAGGTTCTCTAGCTCATAGTGCATGCGTTCCATTCATTGCAGTTCCCACAACTGCACCTGGACCTTTGTGTGATTACATATACACCTTGTTCCCCACCCATAGGACAGAAATGTGTACAACTCCCAGCACATTGATGCAGTCCAAGAAATGCTAAAAGAAATGAAGCATGGAGAAGTAGGCGATGTTCAAAGCACACAGTGAAATTTTAAAAAATTTTTAAAAGTACACTGTACACATGTTGAATAATTGCAATGAAATTCCCTCGTATTATTAAAGCATGCAATTCAAAAGCAAAATAAAATTTTTTTAAAAGATGGAAAATTTTTCTAAAAGACAGCAAAGGACAGTGAGACTGGATTCTTTCCTGTTATTCCTATTGTTATTTTACATACTATGATTAAGTCAAAAAATGATTCAATTACAAATAATAATGTATTCAATAAATGAAAATCAAGAAGAAAAGATTATTCAATACTTACATCCAACTTGAGTAGTTTTTCAATAATAAGCTCTAGAATTTCATGCCTCAAGGTTGGAAAATAAACACTTATCCTCAACAAGTTATGAACATAACATTCCTAAAGTGTGAAACATGAAGTTAAAATCAATCCAGCAGCCAAGAAATGATGAGCAATTGTATAACCAAAACATAGCTACTCTTTATTTTATACATGAACAGAAAAGACAATCCAGCAATACAGGGACTGTACTACTTCTGTTATGTTCAGTATAATTACTTCAAAAATTCTCAGCAACTTAAATTTGTAACTAACATGGTTCCAGTGTTCTGAAAACAGCTTTATTGAGACAGAATTCAAATATCATACAATTCTGTCATTTAAAGCATGCAACAGTTTTGGGTTGGTGGTATTCAAGTGATAGAACATCAGCCTACCAAGTGCAAGGCCCGAAAGAAAACAAAAAATAAAGAAATAATTTGTACGAGTTTTATTTTTTTTTATTTTTTATTTTTTGGGCAGTACTGAGGTTTGAACTCGGCCTCAGTGCTCTACCACTTGAGTCATGTCCAGCCCTTTCCTTGTACTTTGGTTATTTTTTGGATAGGGTCTTGAGTATCTTGCCCAGTCCTCAGACCATGCCTACCTATGCCTCTCACCTAGCTGGAACCACAAGTACACACTTCCATGCCTGGCTCACTAGTTGAGATGGGGTCTTGCTAACTATTTGCCAGAGCTGGCCTCAAACTGTGAATCCTCCCAAGTAGCTGGGGTTACAGGATTGGTCCACATGCTCGGCCATTTAATGAACTGTAAGAATTCCATTATTTGTGGTGTCTTTTGCATTTTGGAGGTGTCTATGAAGCACAATAGTATTTAATTTTGAAGTCCAACCTGTGCAGCAGGTGTCATATCCAGAAAACTATTGCCACATCCATGATTATGAAAACTTACATTCATGCTTTCTTCCAAGAGTTTTAGTTTTAGCTCTTGCATTTAGATCTATTATCAACTTTAAGTTCATTTTTGCATATAGAGATCAGAGTACTTCATTCTTTTGTATGTGCATGTCCACTTGTCCTAATACCATTTAAAAAAAAAAAAAAATACTACCCGATGGCAATGGTTCACACCTATAATCCTAACTCCACGGGAGGCTGAGTTCAGGAGGATCCAAGTTTGAGGCCAATCCAGGCAAAAACTTCAGGAGATCCTACCTCTCAAATGATAGAGAAAAATGGAGGAGGTATGGCTCAAGCAATAAGAGTACCTGCTTTGCAAGCATGAAGCCCTTAGTTCAAACCCCAGTCCCACCAATGACTGAATGAATGAATAAATAAAATTAAAAAGAAAAAACCCTCCTCCCTCATTAAATTTTTTAGTGTTACTGGGTTTTGGCTTGGATTTTTTTTACCAGTGTTAAGTATTGAATCCAAGTACTCTACCATTGAGCTAACTCCCAGCCCATGATGGGCTTTTGTGTGCTTACCTATCTATACCGTCACCATGCTGAATTTGTTTATATCTCTAACACATTTGGGGGAGACTCCTTAGGATGACATGTAACCTTTCTTCCTGTGCATCTGCTTAACTATTTTTCTTATCGAAATGCCCTGGTTATACAGAGAGCGAGGATGAATATCCAGTGGCATGAACCTGCATCCCAGCTACTGGGGAGGCTGAAGTGGGAGGATTACTTGACCCCAGAGTTCAAGACCAGCCTGAGCAACACAGCAAGATCCCAACTCAAAATGTGACCCAGAAATCCTTGCTTTGTTCCTTCTTTTAGGGGGAAGCTTTTATCTTTCCCCTTTGAGTATGAAGTAAGCTACCAGCTTTTCATAAATGCCCTTTATCAGGTTTGGCAAATTCCCTCTACTTTTGTCCTGAAAGGATTTTAGGGTTTACCAAGCACCATCACTGCATTTATTGATGTGATCATGTGATTTTTTTTTTGTTCATGATTCTACTGATAGGGTGTATGTTAATTGATTTGGGGGTATTAAATCAACCCAGAATTGCTAAGATAAATCAAATGTGGTCATGGTGCATGACTCTTTTCATAAGCTGCTAGTTTTAGGTTTTTTTTTTTTTTTTGGAGACAGCTATAATACCAGATTGGCCTCAAACTGGCAATCTTCCTGCCTCAGCTTACATCTATTTCATAAGCAAAACAGTGAATTATAGTATTTCACTTTAGCTGGGCGCCAGTGGCTCATCCCTGTAATCCTAGCTACTCAGGAGGCTAGGTGAGTACTGCCTGATGGCAATGGCTCACACCTATAATCCTAACTATGTGGGAGGCTGAAATCAGGAGGATCCAAGTTTGAGGCCAGTCCAGGCAAATAATTCAGCAGATCCTACCTCCCAAATAACCAGAGCAAAATGAACCATGAACCGGAGGATCATGGTCTAAAGCCAGCCTGGGCAAATAGCAAGACACTATCTTGAAAAAACCCATCACAAAAAAAGGGCTGGTGGAGTGGCTCAAGGTGTAGGTCCTGAGTTCAAGCCTCAGTACCTCAAAAATAAAAAACATTCCACTTGAAACACACTACCAAACACAAACAAAAGTTATTAATTCCTTACTTAAACTATGTAATACCTTATTTAGGAAAAAAAAAATCTGTGCTTAAATCTATCAATTAGTGTAAACTACACAGATGACATAAGTATCACATAAAACTTAAACAGAATTTATTTATACAAAGCTCTTATCTACCACCACCAAAATACAAATGGGCTCTTCTTGTCTGTGTTCAAGTACATCATGTTTATAATTAGGATCTATCAACAGTTATTCTCTAATTGTTCTCATGTGTATAAGTATCAACCTCTAAAAACATTCCTGAAATGGGCCCTGGCCATGATTTGTAATAAGAAAAAGGCACTGGGGATCCCAATGGTCACCTAATTCTTACTTGAGTTGAAAATCTAGAAAACATTTAGGAAAAACACCTAATATCATCTAAAACAAAACCACACACAAAAAAACCTTTTCCATTATTTGCTCCATGCAAAAATTTCTTACCAATGTTCTCTCTGATTTTGTAACAAATGGAAATTTTTCCACCAGTATCGGCATAAGAAACCATGGAGTCCTATTAAAAAAAGAATAAAATTTCCATCAATCCATGTTAACTGGACTTTCTAAGAAAGTTAGCATTCCCATTGTAAGGATATATATGGATAAATACAGGAGGCAAACAGGAACTCCTACCCCAAGCAACTGAGAGTTAAAATGAGTGTACAGTTTCAGAGACAATCTAGAACAACCTAGGTAAAATGCTTTAACTTTTGATTTGCAATAGCAAATCAAAACAGCTTTTCTTCTGCTAAAGTTTAACTGAACTTCAGTTCAAAATCTAAACATTTCCCATCTATATATACATACATATATACACTCAAGTGATAGAGCCCCTGCCTAGCCAGTGTGAAGCCCTGAGTTCAAGCCCCAGTATCACAAAAAAAAAAAAATCAAAAAAGGGAAAAAAAACAGACTTGGATTCTTTTTTCCTTACATTAATGAAAACAAACCTATGGAGGGAACCAGAAGACTACCCCTCCAAAAGAAACCCACAAACCTGCAAAACTTTTCTTAGAATTGCAATCTTTATTCATATGGCATGACACAAATACATACAGGGTTTTCCTCAGTGAAAATATTTGGATACCATATCTGTTGAAGATAAAAGCAAAACTCCAACCACTATTTGGGGGAGAATCTGTACATAAGTTTTATAAAATAATTAAAAACAGTAAGCCAGGCACCAGTGGTTCATGCCTATAAACCTAGCTACTCAGGAGGCAGGGATCAGGAGGATCACTGTTCAAAGCCAGCCTGGGCAAATAATTCATGAGACTCTATCTCAAAAAAACACTTCATAGATCCTTTTTTGGTTCATAAGCATGGTGACTGGGAATTCACGCCTCTGTGTGACATGTGCTGCCCCTAAACCTTATTACAACGTGGGCACATTATCCTTCTGGTGTGAAAAAAAAAAAAGAAAAAAAAAAAAAACACTTCACAAAAATAGAACTGGTCAAGTGGTTCAAGGTACAGTCCCTGAGTTCAAATCCCAGTACCGCAAAAAAAAAAAAAAAAAAAAAAAAGGCTTATGAATCAAAAACAAATAATTTTCAATAAAATGTGATGCAAAAACATATAACCCAGGTCTTAACACTATTAACATTTTATGATTTTCTACTGACTAATTACAATTTTCTTTCTTTCCTTCTTACCTGATGCTGGGGATGGAATTTTGGACCTTGCGTGTACATGCTAGAGAAGCCTTCACCATTAAGCTACATCCTAACTCATTTAAATTTCCTTAAGAATTAAACACCATGATTCAAAGTAGCAAAAGTGTACTCACGATGGGACATATTTGCTATTATTTGCAAGGCTCTGTGACATGTGTCAAAATTTGCAGGAAGATCTACAAGGAGAAAAGTTAAGAGCATAAGCATAAAAACTAAAAACTGAAAAACAATCATATACTTGAAGGTAAAAACACTTGCTAACCAAAACTGAAAAACTGAACAGAGAAGAATGAAACGGCCTAATTATGTTAGCAACACATTTTACACTGATTGCATACTGATGTTACATGCATCAAAGTTCCATCAAAGGTTATCATTTGTTGCTGTCTGTTATCAAAACAGGTGGCAAGATATAAAAGGTATTCTTATCATTGCCAAGATTACCAAGAAAAGCCAAAGTATTTTTTATACTTACTATCGTCTTCGTCATCTGAATCTGAAACATCTACATCACCTTCCTTAATGATCACCCGGGCTTTTGAGAGGAAAAAAAAATTATGTTAGTCTTCTGTCACAGACCCAGACAATGAACAGCTATATAAAAAAAGCTATGTGTAAGAAGGTAGTACTTTCATAAACAGTTATTCAAATTAAAAAAAAAAAAATCGCATGCACATACATATGCTTCCTGCTCCCTTGCCTATGATACCCTGTGCCATCAAGACTCTGCCAGCAAGGCAGCCATCACCCGAAGTAGCTCCTGAACCAGAACTGTAAGCCAAATAACAAGGAAGGAAAGAGGAAGAAAAGGAAAGGGAAAGGAAGAGAAAAGAAGGAGAGGAAGGAAAGAAGTTTTTACAAGCAAAGAGTAGTCACTTACGAGGTACAAAGTGAGAAGCAATCATGCTGAGACACGGTCTAAGGAAGACAGTCTGTGCTGATACAAGATTACCAAGAAAAGCCAAATACTCCTCCACCACTGTTTGACTTCTATTCAACCAAGGCAATCTCTAGAGATGGGAGAAGATAATGAAAACTTTTCACTGATACATACTATTTTCAAAGTACTAAGCTGACCACCAGTCAGCGAAATAAATGAACTTACCAACAGAATGCTGATAAGCTGCTCAAAGTCTTTTGTCAAGTACATGATAGAAGAGCGGAATTCTAGCAGCCAGTTAATGATCTGGTCATCCTGAAGTTAAACAAAGGAAAATACTTTCAAAATCACAATTCCTTGGGCTGGAAGTGTGGCTCAAGAGGAAAAGTGCCTGCCTAGCAAGCATAAAAGAGTAAGGCCCTGAATTTAAACCCAACTCCCCCCTCACAAAAAAAAAAACCCACAAGTTCTTCTCTAAGGTAACAGAAAAAAAAAATCTATTTTGCACCAAATATCTAAGAATAGTATTTAAATTAAGCTACAAATATACAATTTAAAAATATGAGAGGAGCTGGGAGTATAGCTCAGTGGTAGGGCACTTGCCTAGCATGTGTGAGGTCCTGGGTCTGATTCCCAGAACTGTAAAAAAAAAATTTAGTAATATTTAAATGAGATGAAAAAAGTCACAAACAGAATTAAAATCAAAGCTGAATATCAAAACTAAGTTCAGCTGACTGAATGGCTCAAGTGGTGAGAGCACCTGCTTAGCAAGCACAAGGCACTAAGTACACGTACACACACACACACACACACACACACACAGTCTGAGCTGATAGGCTGGAGTCATTAATAAATATCTTCTTCCTCCCTCCCCGCCCCCCAGCATACTGCAGGTTTGACTCTAGGCCTTGTACTTGCTAAGCAAGTACTCTAACACCTAAGCCATACCTCCAGTTTCAAATGCAAGTTTTTCAAAACCGAACCCATAGCTGGATCTAAATGCATTAGGATATATTTGTATAAATAACAATTCTTTTCCACTATACCATGAAATAGTTTTCAGGTAATAAAGTTATTTAAAATCGTTTGAAGTGATATGAGAAAAACTTTATTTTTTTTAAAACCCATGTATTAAATACATTATCAGTAATGTAAAAATGGTTTTTTGGTGGTGGTGTTGGGGACAGAACCCAGGGCCTTAGCATACACCCTACTACTGACTATACCACCAGCCCCCCTCACCAAGAAATTATTTATGTTCATACATATATACAACAAACATAGGAAAAAAATAATAAGGAAAAGCTCCAATTTGTGAAATGACTAAGCTTATTAAGACACTGTTGGGTGCCAGGTGTGATGCTACAGGCTGAGGCAAGAGGATCTCAAGTTTCAGACCAGTCTGGGCTACATGGCAAGACCTTGTTTCAAAAAGAAAATATGAAGTCCTAGCTACTCGGGAGGCAGAGATTAGGAGGATCAAACTCTGAGGCTAACCCATGCAAAAAGTTCTAGAGAACTTAACCAATAAAAACTCAGCGTGGTAGTACACACCTGTCATCCCATCTATGCAGGGAACATTAATAGGAGAATTTCACCCCTAGCACAGCAATAATAAAAGGAAATTTTTTTAATTAAAAAAAAAAAGAAAAAAAAATTATCCTTGAAAAAAAAAAGGGGAGGATATACCAATTGGTATACATTTGAGACCCTGCTCAAAGAAAACCTAAAGCACCAGGTGCCAGTGGCTCACACCTGTAATCCTAGCTACTCAGGAGGGAGCGATCAGGAGGATCATGGCTCAAAACCAGCCCAAGCAAACAATTCACGAGACCCTATCTTGAAAAAAAAAAAAAATCATAAAAAAAGGGCTGGTGGAGTGGCTCAAGGAATATACCCTGAGTTCAAACCCTAGTACTTGAAAACAAACAAACAAAAAAAAACCCTAAGGTAAAAAAGGCTGGTGGTGTGGCTCCAGTGGTAGAACACCTGCCTAGCAAGCTCAAGGCCCTGAGTTCAAACGTCAGAATTCCCCCTGGAAAAAACTCTGGCAGCACATATACTAAAAAAAAAGCAATAAAACACCAAAATAAAAACAAACAAAAAACACATAGAAAAATACATACAAAGAAGAAAAAGAAAGAAAACACAAAACAATACAATGTCATGCCTATGGCAAAAGACTATTTTTACCAAGCAACTTTAATGAGAACAAACCATGTGCCAGACATGACATCTGAAACCTTCCTAATCCTAAAAACTGTAAGATTAATTATTCCCATTTTACAGCAGAGGAATCTGAGATTAAGAGAGACTAATGAGCAATGTGACCAACGAAGAGGTCAATAAAGCCAAATCCAATGCTCCATCTCTCCCATAATACTTTGCTCCACACAAAAAAGCAGCTGGCACCTTTCCCCAACCTCTATCCAAACTACTCATGGCTTTCTATGCCATAGCAATGTGACAGACTTCCAAGGGCTTGACCATTTGCTGATGAAACCCCAAGTAACAAGGCAGGAAATGAAGTAAACAACAATTCATTTGCACTACATTAATTTCATAATGTCCACACAAGGAAGAATAACAGTAATAACAGCTCGCTGAGAAGCACAGAGAAGACAGCTCAGCAGTGTGCAAATCAAGATGAGTATAATCTATTCCATTCCTTTCCAACAACAAAAAAAAAAGTACAAGTGGCTACAGCACTTGGCTGGCAGGCATGAGACCTTGTGGGGAGAAGAAAGGAGAAGGGAAGGGAGGGAGGGAGAAAAACAAGAATAAAGAAACAAAAGTTTGTTGGTACAGGTGACTCACACCTATAATTCTAGCTACTCCAGAAGCAGAAATCAGGAGGATCACGGTTCAAAGCCAGGTCACAAGACCCTATCTCAAAAACACCGAATACAAAAAAGAGCTAGCAGAGTGGTTTAAGAGTAAAGTGCCTGCTTAGCAATCATGAGGCCTTGAGTTCAAATACCATACCACCAAAAACAAAAAACAAAAACAAAAAGTAACCCAGTCACCAGGTATGACGGTTCATGTCTATAATCCCAAGCACTTGGGAGGCAGAGCCTGGGGGATCATGAGTTTGAGGCCAGCCTAAGGCTACATAGAGAAACCCTATCTCAAAACAAAAACAAAACAAAAATCTACTGATAGAAATATAGAGAAGACCACCAAAACTGGCCCTTTGTACCTATGAAAGAAGGCAAGAGTTAGGAAAAGCTTTAAAGAGGAAATGATGCTTTAGCTGTCTTTAAATGGCAATAAAGTATTTTCTGGGGTTACTATATTCCTTAGAGGGAAAAATAAAATGGATACAGAGGACCACCTCCAGCCAGAAAGAAAAGTCACATGGGAAGACATAAAGAGGAAAAGTGGCAAACTCAGGGAATAAAGTATCTAGTGAAACAACACAGGAAAAATGTTGCAGACTGTCTTAACAAGTTGACCCTTCACTCCTCCTTTACTTTTAGTAGGTGAATAACATGCCTAGACTTGTTCTCTGCACAGATGAATCACGCTACTATGTTGGGAGGGGAGGGGAGGGAAACAGAGGAGGACAGGATCTAGAGACTGATAAAGGGTGATTAGAAGAACCCAGACAAAAGCACCAACAAAACAGAAAGACTGCAAAGACTCCCCCTCCCCACCCACTGTGGCCGAAGGCCTTAAGTGAAGGTGAGAAACTCTGGAAAGACTCCAAGGTTCCTAGCTCAAGAACTGGGTGATCAGATAACTCATACCTATAATCCTAGCAATTTGGGAGACTGAGATCAAGAGGACTGAGGTTTGAAACCAACCCAGGCAAATAGTTTGAGACTTCATCTTCAAAATAAGCAGAGCAAAATGGACTGGAGGTGTGGGTCAAGTGGTAGAGTGCCTGCTTTTCAAGTTCGAAGCCCCGAGTTCAAACACCTCTAATAATTCTGGGCAGATACATCTAATAAACAAGTCTGGAGTCCCCAAGAACAACCAGAGACATAGCTACAAATGTGGGAGTTATCAGAACACACATTTCAAAGCCTTTGGGTACCACAGAATGAGAAAAGGGTCAACTTTGGGGGCTGGTAGAGTGGCTCAAGTGGTAGAGGACCTGCCTAGCAAGTATGAGAGACCTTGAGTTCAATCCCCAGTACACTAAAATAAAAAAAAAATTTAAAAAAGGGGGGGAGGGGGCCCACAAGTTTGGAAACTATCAACACCAAATTTAAGAATCTATCAAAAGAATAAATAGGTAAATAATCAGAAGACAGGAGACAGGAGGATCATAGAAACTCAAGTTAGTTTTTTTTCTTCTTCACTATAGTATACACGTTATGAAGAAAAGTTTTTAACAAGTTGATGGTCAAAGGTGCCAACTGCTACAAAGAATTAGTATGAGATTTTAAAAAGTTCACTGAAATAAACAGGTAAGAAATCACTGGTAACCTTTGACAGGGGAATTACAGCAGTGATAAGAACATTGGCTTGAAATGCAAATGAGAAATGAGAATGAGGACCTGCAGACTGTCAGCAGGAACAAAATAACAGGTTAACAATTACAAAGTCCTTACTTTAGGTCAGAGGCTGTTTTAAGTGTTTCCTGTATATTAACTAATTAGATCCTCATTAAAAAAATCTCCATGTTTATGACCCAGCCCAATGGCTGACATCCATAATCCCTGCTACTTGGGAGGCAGAAATCTGGAAGATTGAGGTTGAGGCCAGCAGGGGCAAAATGTAAGAGACCCCAATAAGCCAGATGTGGTGGAGTCAATCTATCAGTTCAGTTACCAGGGAGGCATAAATAGGATCACCCAGGCAAAAAGTCAAGACCCTATCCCCAAAATAACTAAAGCAAAAAAGGCTGGGGGCATGGCTCAAGTGGTAGAATGCCTGCCTAATAAGCAGAACTCGGAGTTCAAATGCCAGTATTTTTTTTTTTTTTAAATCTCCATGTTGGAAAAAACCTGTTTACCATCATCCTTATCAATAACCCACTACATGTCAGTGGCACAAAAGAACATGTTTCCAGCCACTGGCAAGGTCCCTCAAGGGTAACTACCTAGGCTGAAAACCAGTCAAAGTAAGAGAGCAAGTTCTGGAGCACAGAATAGGACCAAGAGTGCAAACTAATGTCTATGCAAAGTGGCAAAAACTTTACTACTGATCAAACAAAAAATTACCTTTATGTCTGGATCTGAGAGCTGGTTCTTCAATAACTCAAAGTCATTTGTTTCACCCTTAACAAGAAGGGGAGAAAATTAAATTACTTGCTATGGTTTCCTGTGAAGTATCAACAAGCGGGACTTTTAAATATACCTTAACATCGGATGGCATTCCAGAAGGAAATCTTTTAACTTTCTTACATACCTTGCCATTATAAAATCATGACTATAAAATTTTAACAACTAATGTTAGTAGAATCAGACTTGGAAAAATGACAAATAACTAAAAAGTAGCTACAAGTAACTAAAAGCTACTAAAATATTTAGCTATATTTGTGTAGTGATATTTTATTATAACTGATACTTTTTTTAAAAAACAGGGTCTCAATTGTAGCCCAGGTCAGCCTCAACTCATGAACCTCCTGCCCCAGCCTCCTGAGTGCTGGGATTATAGGCACTCACCACACATGCCCAGCTAGTTGACACTCCTGAGAATTCTTAAAGTATGAGAAAAAGAACACTGTAATGATCTAATTCAGGGAGAACTACGATGGTGTCAATTCATATGCATGAATATTATACATAAACACAGTCACTTATATTTTCTCTCTACTGCTGAGATCTCATGGAATCACTTGTAAGCTAACACAAAAACAAACAAAATCTCTAACTTATTCTTCCAAAGGAAAGCTTAGGTAATTCCTTAAGAAATAAAAAGTTTAATGGGGTGCCAGTGGCTCACGCCTGTAATTCTAACTACTTAGGGGGCTAAGATTGGGAGGACCTCAGTTTTGAGGCCAGCCCAGGCAAACAGTTCAAGAAACCCCATTTCCAAAAAACTACCAGAGCAAAACAGACTGGAGGTATGGCTCAGGTGGTAGAGCACCTGCTTTGCAAAGCACTGAGTTCAAACTCTGATCTCACCAACAGGAAAAAAAAAAAGAAAGAAAATGTTTTCTGGGTAGTGTTGTGACTCATGCCTATAATCTTAGCTACTCAGGAGGCAAAGACCAGGAGGACTGAGGTTTAAGGCTAGTCTGGGCAAAAAGGTCACAAGAACACATCTCAGCCAATAGCTTGGTGTGGTGGTATGCACTATCATCTGTGGTTACACAGGAGGTTGAGACCAGGAGGACTGTGGTTCCAGGCAGCCTGGGCAAAAAGTTTTTATGTGCAGTGGCTCAAGACTGTCATTCCTGATACCAAGGAAGCAAAAATACGAAGATCACGGTCCAGGCCAGCCCCAGGCATAAAGCAAGACCTTATCTCAAAAATAACCAACACAAAAAGGTCTGGCAAGTGGCTCAAAAGGTAGAGTACCTGCCTAGTAAGTACAGGGCCCTGAGTGCAACCCCCAGCTCCTCCATGGTGGTATGCATCCAGTGCTCAGGTGGGTGAGGCAAGACTTAAGAGTTCAAGATCAGCCTGGGTTACATAGCAAGATCCTACCTCAAGTAAGTAAATAAATACTTTTAAAAACTAAAATGTGTAGCTCAAGTGGTAGAGTGCATGCCTAGCATGACTGATGCTCTGGGTTAATTCCCCAGTACCACAAACAAAAAAAGCTCAGTGGTTATTATGAATCACATTCTAGAACTTTCTCACTCATTAAAAAGGAACCAATTCTTTAATATCATAAAGAATCACTAAAGTAACTGAAAAATGAACCAAGGGAGTATTTAAAACAAAAATTTAAATGCTTAAATTTTTTCAATTTTAGCACTTGCTAATGTTTTCAAAAGATACTTCATAAATACACCATTTGAAACTCGTATTATTACTTTAATTTTAAACTTTTGAACAGACAGCACCCACACATCCTATTACTTGATTTCATATTAGTATCTAAAATTCATTTTATTATATAGACTGGTTTTTTGTTTTTTGCTAGGGGTTGAATCCAGGACCTTATACATTCCAAGCACATACTCTACTTCTGAGCTCCATGGCTCCCTAACCCTTATGCTGCTCTTTAGTTTAATAGCTATTGTTACATTCTTGCCAACAAAATCCAAACCTCACACATGGTGTCCTCTTACCTTTTTGTATTTCAGCAAGACTTCTGTCACAGTTCCACCAAACCGAACAGTTTTTCTTGGGGGAGAATTGAAGAAATCATTCTCTAATGCAAGCATATTTGAAATCCTGTATAACCAAAATTTCCAAGCTATTAAATTCATAACAGAACAATAGTGAACACTTACAGAACCAACATCACTCAGTGAGACTAGAATGGCTTCTTAAATGGTCTCCCAGCTTCCACTCTTACCCCTCAACAATCTAGGCTTCACTCAGTAAAAACTGTCTTCCTGTTGTACTTAGAATAAGAATCCAAACTCTTAGGCTAGTAGAGTGGCTGAAGCGGTAGAGCACCTGCCTCGTAAGTGTGAGGCCCTGAGTTCAAGCCACAGTACTGTCAAAATAAATAAAGTAAAAAAGAATCCCAACTCTTACATTAATCCTATTGATCCTACGTCAATCTGGTCCCTGCCTACCTCTCTGTACTCCTCTCTAGCCACTTGGTTTTATTGCAAGCAGTGTCTGTTCTTCAAACTTGTCAAGCTAGTTCCCGTTTTGCTTGATGTTCACTGTCAGAAACCCTCTTCCCAGAGATAGGCAAGATTGGATTCATTCAAGTCAAAGCTCAATGTCCGAGGCCTTCCTACCAGAAATCTAACATACCCAACTTCTCCCCTACCCTTCCATTACCCTGCTGTGTTGTTCTATTTCCTTCCTTTTTCATTTGTTTGTTTTATAGTCCTCAAAATTGAACTCAGGGTCCCATGCTTGCTAAGCAAGCATTCTACCACTCACCACTTGAGTCATGCCCCAATCTTTTTGCTGCCTTTTTTTTTCCTTACTTTTGTTTGAGATAGGATTTCTCACTAAATATGCAGGAGCTGGCCTTGAACCCTAATCCTCCTACCTCAGTCTCCTAAGTAACTGGGATTACAGGAATGCAATTACCCTGCTGTTGCATTTCTTCACAGCACTTATCACTATCTGAAATCATCTTGTTCATTTATTTATTGGCCTACTTACAGGTTCTCCACCACTGTTGAGCTCTGTTGAGAGCCAAGAACGTTAGTCTCTGGAAGACTACTGTGCCCAGTGTCTATCACAATAAGTAGGCACTTAATAAATACTTATGACTATTATGATAAGTGTTTTACGAGGTTTGCTTTGTTTAAACAGAGCAGGTTAGTGAAAACACACAGCGTCCTGCTGCCTAAAGTGTTTTAAGGGGGTCAGAAACTTTAAAAGTTGAGGAAGATACGGTCTGCTTAAAATACTATTAAATTGAGTCTGCAGCTTATTTTGGGTCGAAACAAATGTCAAACGAAACTTCAGGATTCGATCTGACATCAGTGACAGCATTCGGTAGGATCCTTTTCAAATCTAGAGAAGCCGAAGGGAAGCGAAAAGGAGCAGAAGGCAGGCCCGGGACCATATGAGAGTGCCCAGGGGGATGGCTGGGGGACGCTGGAACAGAGAATGGACTCATCTTCCCAGCTCCTTCCCGTCTCTATTCCTCACGAAGAGGGAACCGGCTCCCTCTGCGCACCTGAGACGACCCGCGGCCCCTGCGCCCACCACACTGCTATAGCTTTACCCCAGGCCCTTTCAGACCCACTTCCCGATCCCGGTCCTGGGCTTTGGTTCCAGACTCGCGACCCAAATCTCACCCAGTCCTCGACGCGCCCAGCGTGGTAACAGCAGAGGCCGAAGCTGCCGCATCCCTCGGCAACCGCGTGTGAAGCACGGGGGCCGCCATCAGGCCGGAGAAACGCGACGACAGCTCCTCGCGCCGGAAATCGTAGTCCTTCCTCTCCCGCCCCCGCCCCGGAAGTCGCGCGTGCGAGCGGCGGCCTTTAGCCAATCGGGGCTCCCAGGCAGGCAGAGCATAGAGATTTTGGCGGGCTAGAGCGCCACCTACTTGCCCCTCCCCGGTCCGCTGGCGACCCTTCCTTCCGCTCGGAGGACTTTCTCAGCCCACCCGACTTGGGGCGCGAAGGGCTGTCTTCCCCCAGCGGGAGGGGAGGGTTGGGGCGGGTCCGCCTCTGCCCACCTCAGAGGAGTCCTAAGAAAGGGCGAGGAAGCCCAAGAGGTGTGAAGTGGTGTCCGGGTTCCCTTGAGTATACTTTTGGAGTCAAAATCCTGCTCAGGACTAAGGGAGTGAGTGGTTCAAGTGGTACAGCACCTGCTTAGCAAGCACGGGACACTGAGCTCAAACCTCGCTATGGCAGAATGAATGAATGAGTAAATGAGTGAATGAATGAAATCTTCAGTCAAACCGAAAACTCTAAAGCCCTGTAGTTAACCCAAATTTGAACTCCACTGGCTGGCCCAGCAGTCTAGGCTCTACACCCACTCCTCACCCTTAAAGACATCCAAAATAATCTTACCCTTTCCTGATGGGGCAGGACATATAGACAAGGAGACAAGGAAATTATATTTATTATTTTAAATAAATATTAAAAGGGCTAGACCCAGACATTAGAACCAGGAGGTTAAAAACTGAAAACCCACAGCAGCTAGCCCCCCTCCCACCTCCCTTAAATGCTAAGTTGCAAGAACAGGGAAACATGACTGGGCTGTCTGCATCTGCCTTCCCCTCTGAGATGGTAAGAAGCTGCCAGGCCCCTTGAAGGCCTAGAGAGACTGAAAAAAGGAAGGCAAGTCTTGCAAAAGAAGTCCTAAAACTCCCTATGGTCCTGTGTTTTAGGTAGGCCTAGCCCTCTTCTCCATGTTTTAGAACAGTAAACAGCTCCCAGCCCATGCTAGACACAGGACCATATGCATTCTCCAGCTCAGGAAGTGTACAGGCCACAGTAAGAACCACCATTTGGAGTCTTTACTCCCATTTCCTGCGTGGGGAGCAGGAAATGTTTCTCCCTTTCCCCCATTTCTCCCTTCTTTATCCTGCTAAACTAAAATAAGTCCTTGTTAAAACTTCCACCTGTGAGATTCCTTGTGTGACACCTTGTGTGACAGCTTTTCATGGATGAATCTCAAGTACCAGTGATAGTGCTGAAACTGGGAAGCTGAGGAACCTCGTTACCCCTCATCTGTTGACAAAAGTGACCTACCCAGAAGTCTTGGGGTTGTGGTGGATGATTAGATATCATTTCCCAGAGACTTTAACCTGGGAATATATACCCAGGCTCTACCGCCAGCTCAACATAAACCTCTAAAAGAGGAGCAAAAGTCAGCCAGACCAACAAAGCAAGGAAGTGTTTTCCAGGGAAAGGAAACAGCAGAGGCCAAGGTTTGGAGATGGGACTGGAATGGAGGATGGACCACCTCCCCCACCCCTATTTCCTAAGAGGGCAAAATGAATCTTTTGGAAACTGCCAACTATTCATAAAAAGGCTACAGCAAATTGTTAACTATAAGGCACAGTTCTGTTTTGCAGCAGAGTAAAATCAGTGCCGTTCCCTGCTGTCTCTATTTGGTTCTCACTGCTCTAGAGTTCCTGGAAGGGATCACTTCTCCACCTTTTGGCCAAGGTCAAGTGTAAAATTCCTAGGGAATGTTGGGCAGAAATCATCAACATCCCAAGAGCGAGGAAATAATTGTATCTCACTCAAAGGATACTTCAAGATAGCTGTTTTTGCAAGAGTTTCTTCCCTTACACCCAAAGCTAAATAAATACATACGATTCGTGAGTTCAATTCATGTCAGTAGAAGTGTAACAAAGCTGTCAAATAACTCAATGTTTCTTTCATTTTAAAAGTTGGACGTGGCCAAGTACCAGCGGCTCATGCTTGTAATCCTAGCTACTTGGGAGGCTAAGATCAGGAGAATCCAGGTTTAAGGCCAGCCTGGGCAAATAATTTGAGGGATCCTATCTCCAAAATAGTCAGAGCAAAATGGAATGAAGGTGTAGCTCAAGTGGTAGAGGTGCCTGCTTTGCAAACTCGAAGCCCTGTCTTCCAGCAAACACACACACACACACACACACACATACACACTCACACAATTGGACATATACAAAAGAATGTTAATGAAAATGTTACAAAAACAAAACACCTGTGAACATCCCATCCAGTTTAAGAGAGACGGAATGTTAATCCGTACTCCTCCCAGATCCCATTTTTGCCCTACCTTCCTCTCAAATATACCCACTATCCTGATCTTTTTAAGAATCATTGTAAAGTTTTTTTTTTAACCTAAATACTACATGTATTCCTAACAATATGGGATTTTTTATTTTTGGCTGTACTGAAGTTTGAACTCAGGGCCTCATATTTGCTAAGCAAGTGCTCTACCACCTGAGCCATCCCACCAGTCCATTTTGCTCTGGTTATTTTTGAGACAGGATCTCTCTTTGTAACTCAGGCCGGCCTCAAATTTTATAATCCTCCTGCCTCAGTTCACCGTGCCTGCTGGCTTTTGTGTGTGTGTGTGGTGCTATAGCTTGAATCTAGGGCCTCAGGTATATACACATTCTACAACCCCATCCAACAATGTACTATTCTTTTTTGCTCGTTTGTGAATTTTATAAAATTATTTCCATGCTACTTGTTTTCAACAGTATGCTTCTAAAATCCACATCCCTGGGCTGATGGAGTGGCTCAAGTGGTAGAGGGCCTGCCTAGGAAGCATGAAGTCCTGAATTCAAACCCCGGTACTGTGGAGGAAAAAAAGAAAAGATAAAATCCATACCCCTGTTGTATGTAGTTGTGGGTTCTCTGTCAAATGCATTCCATTATTTGATATACAAAAAACAAAAAGTTTTCCAAAGTCGCTGTGCCAATCTTCACTCCAAGCAATATGTTCTCCTTAAGCTCAAGAATACGGGTGGTGGAGTAGCTCAAGTGGTAGAGCACCTGCCTACCAAGTGTGAGGTCCTGAGTTCAAACCCCCAGTGCCACCAAAACAAAAAGAATCTTAAGAGTGAGTATAGCTGCTGATGTTTCCAAATAATAGCTAATACTAGGCTGTTATGTTAAAAAAAATTATATTTTAAATGTAATCCTGAACATAACACAAGGAAAAAAAAAAACCTAAAACTAGGGATAGGGAAGTGGCTTAGTGGTAGAGTACTTCCCTAACATGAGCAAAGCCCTGAGTTCCATCTCCAGAAGCACTAATAATAATTAATTAATGAATAAAAACACTTAAAGCTAAATGGCAGCTGGAAGTGGTATTAAGTGCCTGTAATTTCAGCATTTGGGAGGCTGAGACAGGAGGATTGCCAGTTTGAGGTCAGCCCAATCTACATAGCAAGTTCCAGGCCAGCCTGAGCTACATTGTGAGAGCCTGTCTCAAAAACACCAAAGAGGGAAAACACCTAAATGGACTAATTCAGCATTGGCTGGAGTTCTTTGATCACGCCCCTTCCTTGGGGAGCCTGATTCAGCCATCCTATTCCAGGAACAGCTCACAGAATGGGCAGGAGAAAAGCCTCCATTAACCAGATTTGCCTTCGCCAGAGTTCCATCTTTATTTGGACAGGTACGTCCTAATTAAAGAAAATAAAGACCCTCTCCCCAACTACACAAAAAGCAAACAAGCACTAATGAGCTGTGAAGGCACAGCCTGTCCACAATGTGGTCAGCTTTTGCCATCACCATTATTACAGTTGTTGGTAATTACTCTGAACTTCATCCAGAATGAATTGTTTTACCCTCACGTAACCAGAAGACCCATTAAAGTGGTAAGTTTTACAAACCTCCCTGAGACTGTTGGTTGAAGTCTTTGGCTTCCAAGTAACAAAAGCCAACTAGCTAGCATAAGCAGGAAAGAAGAATTGATCTAAGGACACGAAGCTATTGTAAGACACCAAAAAAAGAATTCCTTGTTGGGCAAATTTTGGTCCAGTGTCCTATAATCCAATCAACACTGGCCAGAAGCTGGGCATAGTGATGTAGACCTATAGTCCCAGTTACTTGGAAGGCTGAGACAGGAGGATTACTTGAACTCAGGAGTAGGAGTTTGAGACCAGTCCGGGCAACATAGCAAGACCTAGTCTCAAGAAACAAAATTTAAATAACCCTGAAGAAATGAAGTCATATTGTACCACAAAGCCTTCAGTGAATCTTTACTATACATCAGAAGGTCACTGTAAACTCAAATGGCTGACTCCTACGGAGGATCCAGATCAACTCTTGCTAAACAGCCAAACCCATAGTAGAGATCCCATTGACTCCTTTCCCCTTTCCAAAAAACAGTCAACAGTTATTCGAGTTATCTTTTAAAAACTCCATTCATAGCCATGTATTGTGACGCAGGGCTATAATCCCAGCCTTGGGAAGCTGAGGCAGAAGGATCACAAATTCAAGATCAGCCTGGGGCACATAATGAGATGCTGTTTCTTTTTATTCTTGTGTGGTACTGGGGCTTGAACTTAGGCCCTACACCTTGAGTCACTCCACCAGCCATTTTTTGTAATGAGTTTTTTTTAGATAAACTATTTGATCATGAACTGTTTATAGTTCATGAATTATCATGAACTATTTGCCCAGGCTGGCCTCGAACCAAAATCTTCCTGATCTCTGCCTCCTGAGTAGTTAAGATTATAAGTGTGAGCCACTGGTGCTTGGCTTATAAACTTTCTACCTAAGGCTCAATGATAAAAATCAGCACCATGGAGGAGCCTTAAACTCTGTTATCACTAGAACCATGGAATGGTGCACACAGCAGGCTCAAAGAAGCCCATTAAGGGTAAAAGAATCAAACAGATTTCAGCTCCTGCCTCACATAGGGGTGATAGTTTGGAGTGTGAATTCAGCCAAGTTAACAGCTTGAAAAAGCAGATCAAACAAAAAC